GTATAGGTTAAAGTTTATTTGTACGTATTTACAAAATTAAATTGGTCAGACGGGGGGCATTTAATTTTGTAAATACGTACTAATAAATGAGATTGAAATAAATAAAACGTACACGTACTTTTTTCTCGTGAAATATAACATATCAAAACATAATCTAAAAAAAAAATCAAGAGAATGTCTGTTATTTTATTATAATAATACAGTATTGACTCTACATAAAAAATAAAACTTGGACATTTTTTTTTAAATATATGAAAATATTTCTATTATAAAATTACTGCATGAATAACAAGATAAACCATATTTAAAGTCAACCAGCAATACATGTCAGTTCTAAAACCATCATTGAACACGTTAAATAAACATTACAACAGCACATTTAAAATGCGGAGGCACTCGAGTTTGCAATAGCCATGAACTTTATCAAGTTTTAGAGCAAATAAGAAAAAATACGCCGCACAACAACACCAAACAGTTACATATACATTGTAGATGCATTCTTATTGAAGAACATAGAAAGAAGAATATACCAACCTGTTGTTTAAATTTATCCAATTTGAAGGCCGATAAAGATTTATCAGTAAATATATGTGTCACGAATGTGTGTATTCATATATTTACACTAACGTGAAGTAAACATCAAAAACTGCTAAAAATATAACTTAAAATAACCAACTTGCTGTACAAAATTGACTATTACTGATAGAATTTTCCCAGGAATGTCAGTATGTATAATTTCAATAACCATAAATGATCTTCTTGAAACACCTCGCCGATTATTCATAATCATGGGCAATTTATATATGTATGGAACGCCAATGTAACATAAACTCAAATAGCTGATCATTCTGTTATTATTCGAGTCATATCCGTGCGAATACATAATAATTATTTTATTTTGTTTCAAATTCAGTGCTTATTTCGATTTTTAAACCAGAAACCATTTCATGAATCAATCGTACCAGACGAGAGCACTGTTAGCTCATAAGTCGTAAAAAAGATGTGAAAGCTTCAGAAAATATTCTGACTAGGGGACAATACTAATGAAAGTAAGAACGCCCAAGACAATTGAGCCAAAGAATTGTTTCACTGACGCTGTTGTCAAAGGTCGTACTTATCGGTTTGGAAGTAGATATGCACTCAACCGTACAATCGCAACCAACCGCATCCTACAAGCTGGAATATATGCCGATATCTATTTCCGTGGACACATTAACTGATACTAAGCTTGGACGAAACTTTAGCTAGACCACATATATTTGTGAATATAACATTATGGGCAGCCCTGCAGAATATAATATATCATCTCAATAATAGTTACGACTGACACCGGAAGTCAAAGTTGATTACCTGGCATTAATTTATACATCGCTATGGCTACACCAATCACACTTGCTTCCAGTAACGATGAAGATGTACACTGGAACCAGTGATGACATCAAGATACTTTGAGCCATTATTTTTTGTATCTCAGGAAGAGATATGCGTGGAGACCACATTAGATGACGTATGTAACCGACTCGGCTGTAAAACTGCTCATCAGCAGAGAAACTTGTGTTTACCTTGACATCATCTGCAACTCATTTCTGAGCACAGCTATCACCACTAACGAGTAGCAAGTTGATCCACCAGCTGACATGTAAGCGGTGCAGGATATACTCTTGGCCCCCACGTCAAAAGTTACCAAAAACTGCATAACAAGCTACCGTTCCCAGCTGCAAACGCTAATCGTGGAAAGCTTCAGGATTTCCTCCTCAAATCCTACCTGTCCAGGACGTTTACCACATGTGAGCAGTGCGATAGATAGACCTTATGATATAATGTACGCTGTCATCGGTTTGTTTCTCAAAAGATTACCAGACTGAAACTAAAAAACTATGTTGCGTTATCTGCATTTTCTGTGTTTGAAAGCCTGGATAAGAAATCTGTTATTCTGGTATTCCTTGTGTTGTTTTGAAATATCTGATACATTACGCCAGATATGATGCTCTTCAAACTGTAGACGATACCGACTTCGTTTTGCGAGGAAGTTTTCTCAGATTACGCGCACCAAAGTATGATTTCGAAGGCAAAGTCATTAATGTTTTGACTAGGGACCTGTCCCTTCATTAGATCCGCGGTCTAGTTACGGTAACTATAAGCGCACAGCCCCATCAAACCCATGTGTGACATCCGCTACACTATCGTCTCCACTCTCCAGACTACCCATTTCACTGTGAATATATACTACTAGTAAATTATATATACTTCTTTTACTTCAGGAGATCAACTTATCTGGCCGTCATAAATGACCTATAATAAAACAAAGGATTGTGTTGGACAAATGACCTGATACCGACACTACGCCATGTCTTTGTGACGTATGGTATTCCTGATTAAAAATTAGAGAAAACCGGAATCCCCAAAGAACGCACAAAATGATGCCTGGCATGAGACACTATGGACACGACACGTGCAGCTCCTTTAATGCAGCGCCACATGAGTATTGATGAACGTCTGTTTACCCATACAAAAATGCTATTCACACATTTTGTCGGTAATCATGTTGTAGTGCAGAATAAGACAGAACCACGTCCTTGAAATTGGAATAGACTGGTCAAGTCATTAGTTTCGTCAAATTGACCGTTCAGGCCCGGCGAAAGGAGGGATAAGAGAACAACATGATGTTTCTTCGCAAATTCATCCCAGTCAAGAAGTCATCAAACGGAATTATCATCGACGTTGACATGGGTCTGAAGAGACAATAATTCAATATAACCACTCACACTAAGCAGTCATAAAGTCAATCCTAATAATCACCAAAACACCAGTCTGCCAGTCGGGAAGGAGCTATCATCAGACAACCCTCAAGTAGTCAGTCAAGTACTGCAAATATCACTTTGCAAAGGTTACCACTCATTGAACATTAATGTCCACCAAAACCCCGCTTTGATGATTCGATATGTGGCCAATGTACGTCGTACACTGTACCACCTTGATACTTTCTTCTTGATTCCTCAACATCTTTCTCTAGTTATTCGTGACTTTGAAGGATACTGTTTACCGCATTTCAACCAGTGACACTGCAACTGTAGTCGATTACACCGAGCGTTTCGTCTCGGATATAGCTCCGATACAGTTCTTTCTACCAATCTTTGCGGCACTTTCATGTATGCCTTGTGATTGTAAAGCATACAGTCCTACTTTAACTCACAGTCTGAGACTGTCCCCAGACTCATACATTACACAATAATATACATTATGATACATATATTGTTGTATTATAAGATATTTTATATAAACAAGAGACGATATATAATACACGATAGAGTCCATTTCCATTTCCGTTCACAGTTATTCTATAATCTCTTGATAATGGTAGTGTTACATATACCGGTGCCTCATATTTCCGTGGTACTAACTGTACAACACAGACAACGAAAATTAGAAGAATAAAATTCGGGAAAATATGTTGAATATTGTAACAAAGTCACGTCAATTAGATCATAGTTTATTCCATTTAATGTTTACATGTAAGCATTATTATGTACATAACATGGCAATTATAACACCTCTCTGTAAAGCCGTGTTCTCATATTTCCAAGGCAGTTTTAAAAGCTAAACCAATAGTAATCTTTATTTTTAAGCACATCTTTACCTAGCCCCGTCTGAAAGTGGTGATTTTCTCTATGGCACTTATCAAATATCTCAATGGTTGTTTTACAAACACAATTGTCTTAAATGGTATGAAAACTAAAATGGTGAAATAATTTACTTTGCTCTTAATCTGAATAAAATAATGAGTTTCTCAGTCGTATATGTAACATTTTGATAAAAATACAATAAGAAAGTGAAAGTTAAACTTCTGGCAGGTGCATGAAGTCTAGGAGGCACTTTATACTGTTTATGCCTAATACCTTGGAATTATGGGTACCACGGAAATATGAGGCACCGGTATAAGTATTATAATGTGATTTTGATATCTTTTCTCTCACTTTTAAAGCATGTATACTCAGTCTTTGTGACTTTAATACTACAATAGACACTGATCGGGGTGGAAGACGTAGGGCTTTAGGGAGATTGAGAATGATATTGTATATATAGAACAATTAGTCTCAAAAAGACCAAATATTTAACTGATATTGTCATCAACAGGCCTACTACAAGCCTATCAAATGTGTCAATATTTAAAGAATAAGCCCTAGTTAATTCAAAATAATTTCCTTGTAAAGGTTTGGTGCATGAAATAAGAAGTCCAATCTTTGAAAGTATAATTACATAATGATCACACAGTCTGTAATTCTAGTTTAAGAGTAGACATAACTACTGGCCCAAAATATGTATCCTACTCAACAAGCAGAAAATAGTATTGCGCTTCAAAATTTAATTGTGAATTTCATTTTTTTATTTTCTGTTGTTACAGATCATACTAAGATATGCATTTAATACTCATGTTCAAATTATTATTTTTACATATACATAATTAGACAAATCAATTTTTTAGCTTGACTGCGACAGTGAAGAAGGTCCTAAGACTATGAAATAGATACAATGTACATTGTATGCTCATAATATGTCGTTTTGTGTTAGATCTGTTAAGTTACAAGGAAAACTAGGATTTAATTCAAAGGGAGATTAACTGCATAAAAAGACATCATTGATTTTTTTAAACATTTATTGAAATGCGTTCTCTCTTCGAACTATTAAATGCAACTGAATATACTAAATGTATTTTATCTTTGAAATGTTTAAGATGATCTCACACGGTTCTTTGAGTTTTGTTGGAGAAAAGGGATAAATTGTGTAGTTCATGTTACAAGACTTTTATAGTTTCACTTGTAAGGTTAGTTAAGCGGGTCTACAAATATGTATAAAACAATTGTTACTGTTATACCAGATCTCGATGAAGTATTTTATTGTTTTCTGAGAATTAATCGACAAGGTCTTCCGATACACAGGACAGAGTCGGCATATATAGATAGTAGCAATATGACTTAGAAATAAATAAAGTCAAGACTTGATAACGTCCAAATAGTAAAAAATTTATTTAAAATAAGCCAAAGTACATATATATTTCTATTTACATGAGCTAGTCATCTTGTATTCATGAATCTAAAATCCTTGGTTGCCAGCAACCATAATTAAAACAGAAAACATGGCGAAAGTGAATAGGATATAAAAGTAGTAACGTAAGTAAGAATGGTTAATAATTTGTTGTTAGACAATTCAACTTAAAAATAGTGTACACAATGCCTTTAGGAGAAAGTTTTAGCTATTCTGTTGCTCGAACCATCATGATCTCAATAATAACAACACGAATGTTACTGAATTGCTCTACATTTTCAGAAAATGGTCAAACTAAAGAATAGCTTCATCTTGAAATCTGACGCATGTTTTATTTAGCATAGTGTTGTAGAAAGGTACAAAATTAAAGTTATAAATATTTTAAGGATTAACATTAATTTTATATAAAACAGATAAAATAGTGACGCATTGAAAATAAACTTCGAAAGTACCGAAATAAGATGAAGTGTTATAACGAACACAAGTTAAGCTTAATTCGATGAATAGGATGATCGAGGAAAATAAAACGTTTCTTTTAAAATTTGTTTTCAAAATTAACAAATGATTTGAAAAAAGCGTAAAATATGAATGATTATACAAATACATGTATATGACAACCAGTTCGTTAGCTGTTGTGTCTCGTTAACTTCTTGAAAAAAAATGCATAAATGAAATTGTTAAAACAATAATCCTCTAATATGGCACAACATTTGAACACTGATAAAACCGTATACAGCTAAAAATCATACACTAAATATATAATTCTTAATAGTCAAAAAATAATGATCTGAAAATGGGTGATCTCTCAGAAGCAGTGAAACAACAATATAATATGAAAAAAATAGACTCGGTTTGTTTGAGTCTGTTAATGAGAGATAATGTAAAAATGCAAATTCTCTCACGCCCTCAAGCACCGTCTTGGGAGGTATTCAATATTCAGCACTAACGTGCTGTAGGAACTAAAAACTAATAACAACACTGACATGAAGAAGGGGGCAACATTTACAGCTGTCACACCCATCACTTGACACCTGCTGCCAACGAAACATCGAAATATAAATGAACACCTATATCTTTTTCATAAACCTTTTTGTAGCATATGGCATATTGCTGTATAGATTTAATTTGCCTGTTAACAACCTGAAAATAAGTATACAATTTATGAATTTTAGAATAGAGCAATGTTTGAAAAAGGATAACAAATTAACACTTGATTTAGATAACCAAAGAACTTGACACACTCGAATAAGTCATTTATATAATTCATATTTTACGTGTCAACTACTTGAAAAGAAGATTTATCGATTTTTATCATATAGATAAACTTACTTCGCTTGATATTCGGGTTTCGGTATTGTAAATGCTTCTCCATCAATGTTCATAAAGTGTTCTACCTCGTAGTCCTGTGTGTCAGGTTGACTAGGTTCATCTAACTTTACCTTCCATTGTTGGCCAGGCAACACAGAAATATCATCTCTCGCTTCCAGCTGAAAATATAACATTTCATTTGAATCAAACTTTTGAGTTGAAGAAAAAATAAATAAATTTGTCGTAGAAGCAATAATTTCCTTGTTCAAAACAACGTTAAAACTTAAAAGTAACAATGAATGTAATATCCACACTATCTAAATACAGCAGTTTACAGTGTGATGTTTGATAACAGTTCAAGGTGACACGGAAAGTGACGAATCATTTCTCGTATAGTTAAATAGATTGCCTACAATATAATTACCTTTCAACACTGTACATTAATGTATGTTCGCCCTCTTTTAATAACATAAGAAACGTATCAACAATACAAATGTAAATGCCTTAAAATTGTATGAGGGGCACACACAATTAATGTCAATTCTAGTTTATAGTTCGAATTTACACATGTTGTAAGAGTATACAGGAACTATTTACCACTGCTAAGTTAAGTGTCATCAGTCGAAACATAAAACTAATATATTTCGTCCGCTGTGCAGATTTGTTCAAATACATAACTGCCTTTGACAAATCCGGCTTTGTAGTCATTGTAGAGTCATTAACAGGTGTAAGCATGAAAAGGATTGCCCCAATTGTATTCTCTTTAATTGTTGTTGACTTTGAACTGTAAAGACAAATATTCATCAAACTATATTATGTCAGCTATCATTTTAAAAATGTAAGATGTTTGTTTTCAGCAATTTTAATAGCTAGTACAACTAGTACATGCTTATTGTCTGAGCGAACATAACTAAGTAAATCTATTGAAAAAAACCTTTAAACTTAAACACAAAATTTCTAATGAACGTCAATAAAACTTGTTAATGGTTATTATAAAGGACTATTATCTAGTACCTTCGATTGCTGGCATTGCTATCGTCTGCAACCTCAGTAGAACTGTTATCAGTTAATTTTACACCATCGAGAACATCATCAGTATCACGTGACTCTGTAGCAATGTTCAGATCTTGATTCGATTTGTACTGTACTGTCAACTGCATTCTTCGTAATGTTTTAATGAACATTTGTTCCAGAATAGCAACTGCAAATTAAGCATTAATTACTATAAACATTTTAAAAAAAGTTTTACTTAATATTATATGACTGATCCAGTAGATTAATTAGCAAAGCATTTCGTTTACCACATAAATACAAACGATTTACAAAATACATTATTAAGAATAACTTTGTTATAAATTATAAACAAGTATTCATTCCTATTATTCAAGGCGCAAAAACACATTATTAAGAATAACTTTGTTATAAATTATAAACAAGTATTCATTCCTATTATTCAAGGCGAAGAAATATTTTTAAAAGTTTTCTATTACATGACCTCTAAGAGATATTGTTTACGCTGCTTACGTTATTTTCTAAAGCTATAATATGAATACATACTTGGATATCTCATTCTTCCTTGACTTCGTCTAGATTCTGTTGTATGAATCAAATCACTCCAAACTCCATAGCCTACCAATAAACTGCTATAAGCAACTAACTTGTCATCACTATGAACGGACATCAGGTTGGCAGGCGAAGAATAGCCTTTTTTTAAGAAATAGATTTCATAAACTTAATACAGCAAGTGTAAGCATACAATTAAACAAAAAAATAACAGCCCATCTCCATAAGATATACTGGCAGCGATATCAATTAATTCATTATTATTAATACAATTACATCTATGTTATGTTATTAATTTAATGGAATTGTTTAATGCATTGTTCTTTGAAGAGTTTAGATGGTAAATTAAAGAAACAATAAAGTTAAAGCTAATAAAAAACTATTTAATTCAATAATACTCGTAATTTAATAAGACACAAGAAATAAACAGCAATGATCAATATTTACCTATTGCTATCGCCAACGCAGCTGTTTTTACATCGTAATTTCCATAATAATTGTACGCTATTCCATTTCCAGTACCTATATAAAACATTCAACTTTACTACATTACAAAATTTAGTTGAAGATACGCTGTGTAAACATGCCGTTTCTCAAACCTAAACATATTTCATCTCCTAATATCAATTTTTGTCTTAAGTAAGAAAAAAAACCACATCAATCTTTTGAATGCAAATAGTCCATCAATTGTCTGCAAAATGTCTTGTCTTCAAAGGTATTAAAACCACAAGTTAATGATGAAAACATTAACATCTTAATGCGTATAGAGAATTAATCTGAAAATCATAAGAATGCTGCATATCTTGAAATTACGGTGCGCATGCATCATCTGGCTATGTATTCATAGCGTCACACTCAACCCATAATCACAATAATTCAAGCATTATGTAATCTGTGGAATTATTTGTAAAAGCTTGTTCAGATCCCGTAAGATCTAGCTCTTCTACAGTGTGAATTACTGATTTTTTAATAAACAACAACAACTCAACTAAACATGCAGCATGGAAAAATAAGATTAACATATGTATTTATATACCACATGGTATCAACCCAACAGTGATATCAATGGTTGGTACAGTAACATCAGGATCATCCACATTTACATTTTGTTCTGTTGCTAGGCGTCTCATTAAACCATTTACTGCTTCATGATACAATCCATCCCCGCTAACTAACACCAATCTAGAATCAATATTATAATGTATAAACAATAACAAATTTATAATTAGCAAACATAAAATTTCAAATTAAACAACGAATGTAAGAATTAAATTGTAGCATAGTACCCAGTATATGACATTGTATCAAATGTAGATGTACCTTTTATCATCCATACATTGAAGATGTATCATCCATGAGATGATGCATTTAAATTGATGTAACACAATTCTATTTGAGACTGCATCATCCATTTGTATGTGATAAAATACATCAAATATAAACCATCGCATATAAACAACACTTTGACTTTTAAAATACATTTCTATTCAAATTTTAAAGAGCTTTTTAACGCAATACCATGTGTTCTGTAAATTTAGACAATAAACCATAGCTATGAATGTTTTATTGTACTTCTCTACTACACGTTACATATGTATACAGTAACATCTTTATAAATGACAAGTTACATATAATTGGATTAAAGCACTTAATCATGCAACATGGTTGTATTTCATTCGGAATAATACATGCAGTGTCTATTCTAGGATTCGAAAAACGGGGGATTTTTATCGAAAAGTGAGAATTTATTACATTTGTTGATCTTTTTCCCCCCTTCCTCTCAAAAAATAGGGGTGAATTCTCAAAAATATGGGTGAAACCCCCCATCGCCCCTCCTAGAATAGACACTGATACATGTAAGATTTATAAGCTATTCTTATTTGAGAATGCCAGAAAAAGGAGAAAAGGGACTTACCCACTGATGGACTTGATATCATATGTTGACAATATTTCCTCCGCGTGATGTGCTTTTTCAGTCACTATAACATGATACATATACAATACAGTTGTGATTTTCTTGTACAACAAATAGTATGTACATATTGCGAATACTGTTTAATCTTATTGAACTTAAATATTACATCAGGAATATTAATGTTACTCCTGATCAATGGTTTTCATACTTATTATCCTTATTGTTTGGCTTAAACTATTTCCACAATTTGATTTTGTCTTTTTTAAATCTTAACTTTTACATTTTGAATATAAGAAATGTAATACTAGTAACAGATTAACATAACAGTATAAAAGATCATAAGTTACAATACCAATAACATCTGTCTCAATTCCAGCCTCCTTGAAGATAGGTGCCACCTTTTGTTCATATGTAGATTGACCTTTGCTTCTTCCACTGACTGGATTAATCAACACTAATAACTTCTGAGGTCTCTGTTCAACTGTAATCATATAATATTTTATACCTGACATCGAGGGAGAAACGAATAGACATACATAGAATAAATACATTCTGAAACACTGTAATTTTGGAGAACAATGTAAACAAATCAAAAGTTTTGTAAGAGTTACTCTATGTATGGTAATAATAAAAAAGTATACTTGTATCATAGTTTGGGGACCTTTCTGTTGAAAATGTGTCAGAGTTAAATCGCATACATATACATGCACAGCGCGTTTACTGGAGTGCAGGTATTAGTTACCCGTACTACAATTGATTGGCTCATTTTTTATGGAGTTAACTTTATTGTGACGACAGAGAAATGGATAGCGATAGAAATTTCACATTCAGATGCTCGTTCATTGGTTACTTTTTCTGGGGTTCCATATTGTGACAACAGGGAACCTGTTTTATTTTTGACCTTGATACAAAATAGAAAGAACATCAAAACACTCTGCAGTCTAATACAAATCAGATAGCCGTGCGTTTCGATGCTCTTTCTATTACTATATAACTTGAAACCGAAGATCTGTTTCTTTCCTAAGAAATAATTGCATAAATAGAAGCCATTACTTTTTCTAATCAAACCCGATATTTGTTGATGTAGGTTTGAGATAATCTGCGAATCATCATGTTTAAATGCGACACAGCATGATTTCAATATGAGTTTCTTTTCCTGTCTCACATAGTTGACACATAAATCGTCATTGCTACTGCCCACAGTCTTCTTCAGAGATACAGATAAAACGTCAGTAATGCGGACAGTTTGGAGTCCTGAAATATAAAACTTGATATTGCTAATGTTATTTCTTTCTTTTCCTTTCATACAACCAAGGAATGTTACAAAATTATTCAGAGATATAGTCAATATGTGTCCTTCTGCTGACTGTAATCCTGAATAAATCTAACATAAGTAATTTGAAGTAAAACTTGTAGTATTATCATCATATATGATGAACTTGAACGGACTTTTTGTACAATACAACAAAGCGTTCTTAAGCGGTATTCATACCTTATAAAATATGAATACCAGCAGTATAATTATTATCTTGGTTAATACTGAATTCTGTATATATCCGTGCTTGGAGTATGCACGAAAATAATCACTTGTATACTTAATCATATCGTACATTTTTTATTGTTGTGCGACAATTTACTTTTCCATAGTTCAGTGCTAAACTGATATAAAATACATATATAAAACAATTAGAATAAGAGATGTTTAGTTTTCAGTGATTGAATAACTAAGAGTAAAACTTCTTCACCTTTTTGTTCAGTGCTGCCTGCAATATGCCATTTCAACTCCACGTCTGTTAGTTTAACGTCATAGCATTTATTATTTATACTGAATGTACAATGGGTTAAAACATCTGTATCACTGTGAGTTACCGTTACTTCTTCAGACATTTTCTGAAATATAAAATGTTTAAATATAACTTCACTCTAAAATATTTTAAGGTAACATACCATGCTATATATAGCAATATCACTGAACTTACAAACAGTATGATGTACTAATATCTGACTCAAGTGAAAGAACATTGTTACTACATTAACTTAAATAATTTCAGCACATACATTTATTAAAAGTAAAGTTATCATGATAAAAGATTAATATATCACTTCAAATATACTAGTAGCATACCTCAGATCATTCTAGGTTTATAAGAATGTCAAAGATATAGCTCTTGGATATATGCTGCGCGTATGCACAGCAAATATTGGACGAAGTGACCGTGGATGATGTCAACTGATTACCATACATACAAATTTCACATATGAATCACAATATCAAACCATGCACCAACTGACTGTAACCTCTCCCTCATAACAGGAGAATAGCAAGGATCTTGACTTGGCTTTTTAATCCTTGCTAAAGATCCCTTTTTACGAAAACATGCAGATGGTAAATCCCCCGCAATGCGGTTGAGAGTACTGCCGAACTTATCTCCAGCTAATTTGGCTTCAAAACAACCATCACAATAAGCTGCCAGGCTAGGTAAAATTCGGCTCAGTTCATTCGCAATTCCTGTAGCAAGATCGAACTTTTATTGGTGCATAAGGAGGCATGCAGTAGTTTCGATCTGACCAGGTTCAAATTTACGAATAAGAGACAATTTTGAAATTGAATTCGGCATTTGAGCGTCTACATATTTCAGGTTGCTATAGTTCAAGTTTCAGGGGTGTTATGATATCAAGATCAGATAACTCTTTACATGTTTAGTTGTATAATGGGATTACTTCCCTTTACTTGATTGGAGAGGTCATCAGACCTCTCCATAGTGTTCAGACTGATTGCTGGCGGCATCCATTTTTGCGTATCTGATTGCAGAGAATGAATCTCATTTTAAGCGTAAAATCATAAGGAGCAGTCTACAAAAATTGTTTTGCCCATGCCCCGTTTTAAAACACGGCTTAACTTAAACGAAAAATTAACATCGAAGAGAACAAATCGGTACATAGAAAAATCGGAAAATATCATTTACGTTACTTAACACTACGTGCATGGATGCTTCATTCCGTAACTGTATAAATCGATTACCGTATTGTTTTCTGAATAACGTTTTATTATTTCATGTTCTGATAAATAGATACAGTGAACACTATAGCTACAATATCACCATGCACTATATATACCACCTCCGTGGTCGAGGGGTTAGAGTCGATGACTTTTAATCCAGAAAACTCTCTGGCGTGGGTTCGATCCCCGGGAGATGCTTCTTTTTGTTAGTTTAGCGCGGAGGAAGGTTGTCTAGTACTGGTGTAACTCTCCAGGAACGATGGTTAGGAAACTACCCGCCTATATGACTAAAATACTGTTGGGAAAAGGCGTACAATGAAACAAACAAACATGACCGAGTGAACCGTGTATAGAACCGGTATATCTAAATAACGCAAAGGGAGATTTTTTTGGCGCAAATGGCACAAATTTTATCTCAAGTTTGATTTTCTTCTAATATTGTGGTTGGAGGCATGAAGCTTTATATACTGTTTATTCCAATAAACAGTATATAACAGTATAATTATAACAGTATTTACTGTTTATTCCAATCAAATGATATCAACATTTTTTATGTAAACTTGTTTGATTAACATACTTTATACTCGTTTTGGAAAATGTAGAGGAAATGCTTCCTTATATTTAACAAAACAGTGACCGAAAATTTGCTTATTGAACTTTACAAGAAACTTTTATTTTGAAAATACTTTTAATATATATATAATTTTTCTACAAAGGGAACTGAATTTAAAATACAAATGTAAATGATATATATCATTTAATTTACATTTAGTAATTTAACAATTTTTTTTGTAGAAAAATTATCTAATGCGCCAAGAAAAAAGTCCATTTCTCCGGCATATAATCTTTTAAAACATTAAAAAAGATGAAATGTAAAACAAACTTTCATTGCAATATATATAATAAATTATATTTTGTGTAATAATTGTAATTTATAAACATTCATTGTGTCTGTTATGCAAAAATATCCCCAAATATTTTCGAATTAAACAAATCTTCCACAGCAGCAAAAAGACCTCTCGCAGGCTTCTTTTTAAAGAAGCAAACTTGTATTCATTAATGCTATGTTATTGGCGTCCGCGCCGAAGCGCGGCGCTCTTATGGAATGAGATCAGATTTTGTGAAAGGGCGACAGCAACTTCTCGAGCCTTTTAGTCGGTCATAATAAAAGCCGAAAATTCCGATCGGTATGAGGGTGCTTGATTATTAAATAAGAATGAAATGTCGCGATATGTTACAATGAATTTTCGCAATGCAAACATTTACAAATGAAATAACCTTTTCCGTCAATAAATCGCGCTCTTCGGGGTTTTTTATTTATCATTTTGTAGTACACAGTCGGTTATCATGTCATGGTATGTTATTGTTGTACATGTATCCTAGAATGATCAGTTGATGACCTAAATATTCCAAAAACCTATTTATAGATATATCTTTTTATCACTCCTATCGGTAAATGCCGGTCTCTCCCGGTCTATTTTGACCAGGATTTACTAGTGACCGGCGAATAGTACCACACGTTTATTGTCCGGTCTCTCCCGGTTTTGGAGTAGATGTTTGATATCGTTACAATTAGAAAAAAAAACAACAATAGCATGTTTCATTTTATCTATATGAGATAAAAACAATAAATATGTACACGGATTTATATGTAATATAAATCCGTGATATGTACAATAATTGAGAAAAAGGTACATTTTTTATGGTATTAAAATGACATTATCAACTTTGAAACATTTTATTTAATAATTCAATTTGTTATCCGTGTTTAGTAAAGATGCCGAGGAATTATTCAAAGTTACAAATTAGATTTTATGAATTATTCAATTGATCGATAATTTAAAAAATGATAAAGAAAAATACAATGTACATGTACATGGTTTAAGAATAAACAATATTATATATTGAAAGATAAACCATAATTTACTGACTTTTTCCAGTTAAGCTTTGACTTATAATCGTCGGTCAATATGACAATTGAATTCTTAAAAATTGTTTTACAATTTTAATAAAAAAGAGTAGTAAAAACTCAGTATTAAAATAGCACATAAAACACAAAAAAGAATAAAAGAAAACAATATTCATAAAATTTGTATTTTTTTTTAATTAAAATTAATAGATATTACAATTATTGTATAATAAACAATTATGCTCAACATGATCAACATGGTAATATAACCAGTGTCATATTTTTACTAACTTAAAGTGTGAACAGATACCTTAAGGGGGTCTTCGCTAATAGCGATAACATGTACATAATAAGGGACAAATGTGTGGTACGTGTTGATCATGCATTACACATATGGATTATAAATGATTGCATACATGTATATCCGTTGCTATTAATAACCACGATCATAAAGAAATAACAAGTAATATTCTAATCTCTAGCATGCCAATCAAAGTTCATAATGAACAATGTCTTTCGTCCGCTCATTCATAAGTGGTATACATTTCTGGTAGTTTATAAGAATATCTTGTCATCATTTGTGTACTAGTTCATCTTCACTTGCTGCATTTCTTGCTTGGACGCCCTTTGATGCTTTGCATCAATGCTTTTCTTGTATATATGTTATTGAATTATAGTTTGTAACGTGGTATATATATGTGAATATTATTGATATTATACATATATATATTTTATAGTGTTGTGTTTCAATTATAAAGTAAAACTTATTTAAGTGGTGTTTGAACCCATTGATTTTAAATTAATTATTTGCTGTGATATAAATATATATGTATATGTAAATTATGAAATACATTTATTTCAGGTGTTTGCTTGATTACAGACTTGTGTGTTTTAATTGCGATTAGTTGCTTGCCGAGAAGCCTTGAAAACTGTGTATTGCCCACTAATGCGCACTGAAAGTTGTTTCAAGTATATAGGTTAATTTTAACCTCAGTAAATCTGAACGTTTTCAAATTCACGCTGTCGATTGATCACGGCGAACTGATCATTTCTGTAGACTTTTTGAAATTTCATGTTTGCATTAAAGTCATAACAAATATCAAATAAACCATTAAGGCAATTAAAGCACGCGACTTAGCTTACATCTATAAGATATGTTATGAAGATGTCATTTTCCAGTATACGTGCAAAACCGCTTGAAAATCTGGCACAGAGTAATATGCAGAATTATATGTACATACCCTATAGGAAACCCGTCAGACGGACTCGCATATTCGGCGCGGAAACATGCTACCACGTTACAAACTATAATTCAATACGCAAAACATTATACTGAAACATAAAAAGAAATATAACCATAAAGACAGCTATGGCTTTCCATAGTGATACAGACTGGATAACTGCTCTCTCTATATCCATTGATTTTATCAAAGCTGGTTTCAGTAGGTCATGCGGAGGGTAATCAAATTAAACTCGCAATACATTGAAATATATGCAAAATGTATTTACAAATAATGTTACTTTCTATACATTACAAGGTAATAATTAAATTGACCTGCATTCGTGTATTCCTTCTTTATATTTATCTTCACAGACTGCGTCAGTTTATTTTGTTTACTTTGTTTGCGCTTGTAAACCAGTCTGAGGTCAAAAATGATAACAAACATCAATGTTTCTATAAATACTCAACTTACTATCAACAAAGTAAGCTTTACATTTAGACTAAATCACATTTAGAATAAATAATATAAAATTATAATAATGCAGAAGAAAAAACAAACAAACAAAATAACAACAACAACAACAACAACAACAAAAAACACAACAAGAAATATCTTTTAAAAAAGATACTCGGCCGAAGTATAAATGTTTAACATATAAAGTACAATGTATATGTTAATTTTTAAGTTTTCAATACAAAAAGAAATGTTAGCAATGCTTGCATAACAATAACATTATAATTATTTTTTGTAGCTATTAAGAAAATACCCATTTTGTAAACATTGAAATTAAATTATTGCATATTGATGATTTTTTTCAAAGAAGAACATGCAAGTTCCATTTAAGGTGTCCTTTTTTTACTTGTTTTCCGTTTGACTACATGAATTTTGTAATCATTTACAAATTAACCTAAAAATTAAAAAACTCATTCCGGTACATTTTATTTTACGTTGACAAAATCCCTTACATTTTATCATAGAGTTATCTTTAAAATTTTATTTAAGAATGGCAAGAACTATCCTTTACATTTATTTAAAATGGTTAGAACTGACCTTTACATTTTATTTTAGAATGACCAATGAGATTCATCGATCTCAGTTTGTAATTTTAAAATGACCAATGAAATTCTTCTGATGTTCAACCCTAGTAAGTCAAACCGGTAACAGACGGACTTCGTCCCGAAGTAAGAAAAAATATTTAAGTCTATGAACGGAGTAAACAATTATACATTTAGTTTATACGATTTTTTAAGTTCCATTGTGTTGGAATAATAGAATCTGTCATTGGGTTTGATAGAGGATAGGGAAATCCCAACCCGAGGGTGATCGGTTCCATCGGGAACGAGCCTTGGCGAGTTCCCAATGGAACCGATTGCCCGAGGGTTGGGATTTCCCTATCCTCTATCTAACCCAATGGTTGATTATTTTTCTCACTCACCTGGACACACAAATATCAGTTGCGCATTACAGCGTACATATATAGTTTTGAAAAGGGGGCGGGGCTTAGGCGCCTGACTTTCTATGATTAAAAAGCATTAAGTATGTCCGCAAGAAATTCTTCTGACCAAGTTTATGTGTGAAAAATTTGATGAAAATAAATTCAAATGAGATCCCTCATCAAAAAGCAAGGTTATCATGATAAAACACATTTATATTAAAAACGGAAAGTGCCATAATATAAGTGTTTATAAGGAATTCAGTCCATACCAATGGTTGACAAAAAAACGTTTACTGTTTGCAAAGATTTTTCTACTTTTTCGGTTATTTTGGCCGAATATTCAATTAAAATATATCAAAATGAGATTCGTCATCAAAAAGCATCGTTATCATAACAAAAAACATGAATGTTTTTCAGGCAAAGTGTCATAATATCCGATTTTACGAAGAATGTTTCGACATTTTTAAAGTGTGCTATTTTTTGTAACAGATCGTTATTGGAAAGGGCGGATCTAGGTAGAGTAGGACTCATTGCAGTGTGAAAGTTAATATCAATCTATTTTGATTCCGTAGACAATTTAATAGATTAGCTCACAAATTTTTAATACATTTTGACCTTTTGACGTTTCATTTTAGCTCGACTATATGAAGTATATGGAGAGCTGTCCTACTCGCCCCGGCGTCGGCGTCCGCGTCCAGATTTTAGATTAAAGTTTTGGTGCAGTAAAATATTTTTCACTATAACTTTGTCATTTCTTAAGGTATCAACTTCAAACTTCAAATATATGTTCCTTATCATCAACCACATCTTATGTGACAAGGTTCATAACTCTAGCACCAATATTTTCAGATTTATCTCCCCTTGAACTTAGAATTTTCCTTAAAAATACTATTTTTTACTGATACTTCTTTATTTCTTAAGGGATCAACCTCATACTTCAAATATATGTACCTTATCAGCATCCCCATCTTATGTGACAAGGTTCATAACTCTAGCACCAATATTTTCAGATTTATCTCCCTTTGAACTTAGAATTTTCCATAAAAAATATTATTTTTTACTGTAACTTATTTATTTCTGAAGTCATCAACTTCATACTTCAATTATATTTACGTTATCATCATGCACATCTTATGTGACAAGGTTCATAACTCTAGCACCAATATTGCAAGAATTATCTCCCCATAAACTTAGATTTATTTACTAGAAAAATGTTATTTTTTATTTTAACTTTTTTTATTTTTAAAGGTATCTACCTCAAACTTCAAATACTTATTCCTTATCATCAATTACATTTTATGTGACAATGTTCATAACTCTTGAAGCAATATTTACAGATTTATCTCTCTTTGAACTTATTTTTGAAGAAATATAATAACTTCTTTATTTTTTAAGGTATCTACTTCAAACTTCAAATATATATTTCTTATCATTACACAAATGTTGTGTGGCAAGGTCCATAACTCTAGCATGACTATTTCTAGAATTATTCCCCTTGATCTTGGAATTTATGTTAACAAATGTTATTTTTTACTGTAACTTAATACATAATTATACATAATTGATTTTCTTTCATAATTTTGTCCTCCTTACTGCGTCCAGTATTTCATTAGTCGAGCTTCGCTGTCTCCTGTGACAGCTCTTGTTGTTAAAATAGGAGTGAATCGCGTATTATTTAGAAGTGCTGCACGTTGAGTGTGAGATAAGCCCATGTGAGATAAGATTTTCCAACACCGCTATTTTTAGTAACATAAAATTTTAAGGATTTTTCTATCTGGTTAGTGAGAAGCTATAGGCTTATTGCTGACGGAAACAACGGCTAGCATTAATTTTTTTGCTACAGTTTAATAACATTGATGTTTATTGCCATGTACGTAGGCCTATATATCAATTTACAGTAAGACATATCATGCTTCTTAAATTTATCTTTTAAGTTAAAGGTCCATATTATGCCCCAGAAATGCTTTTTTTATTTTTATTTCTCGAAATCATTGTATTTTGGTACCTACATGTATTGATTTCCAAAAAGTTTGTCATTGGTCATTTATCTGTAGAACCATCTTCTGGGTTTTTTGACAATTTTGACAATTAGTACAGTTAAAAGGATTTACTATAGAAGTCAAAATACTACTTTTTTACATTTTACTACTTTTATGTTAATAATTCAACATTCAGTGCTACGTTCTTCAGGTGATAAGCATTTATCATGTTTGAAAACCATTATTTAAACATTATAAAACGTGCCCTGTCTAATACGTACCCAGTTTCTTAGGCCTTTTAAAGGCACACAGATATTGAAACATGGACAACAAATTACCATAATTTGTATGTTTATCGACTTTATTCATTAACAAAACTAGACATATTACCAACACATAAACATAATCACCTGTATTTAACGATTCCTTTTATATTGAAATCATTCATTAAAACAACTTGAACTCTGTTCTGTCTTAGTTTTCATCACTGTTTTATTTATATGTATTCAATATTGTCTTATATATAAATTAATGTACTATCATGAATTATATCTCAGTGTTCAACAATGTCTAATATATCAGTGTTCAACAATGTTTAATATATCGGTATTCAACAAATGTTTAATATATCAGTATTCAACAATGTAATAATATATCAGTGTTCAACAATGTTTAATATATCGGTATTCAACAATGTATAATATATCAGTGTTCAACAATCTTTAATATATCAGTATTTCAACAATGTCTAATATATCAGTGTTCAACAATATATCAGTATTCAACGATGTCTAATATATCAGTGTTCATCAATGTCTAATATATCAGTTTCAACAATGTCTAATACATCAGTGTTCATCAATGTCTAATATATCAGTTTCAACAATGTCTAATATATCAGTTTCAACAATGTCTAATATATCAGTTTCAACAATGTGCCGTATTGAACCCAACTGATATAAAATTACCAACACTTATACCTTATAAATATATAACATTTATTTACATTTTAAAAAAAAGACGTTTAGATGTATATTTTCTCTCCTAGTTATGGTCTGATTTTGGTCGCCAGCCTTCATATATTATTTTTTTTAGTTTGAATATCTCTAGTTTACCAAGAGAAAATATTTCTGAATTTTCGATATCGAAATTCCGAAAAAATGCGCCATCAAGTTTATTTGTACTACACTCGACAGCAAGTCTCTCAAGGCCACACAATTTAAAACATTCGACTAGTTCTTCCACAGTGTATGAAAAGAAATCTTTGTCAGATTGGTTTGCTTGTGAAAGTTTCTTTAAATCTGGGTAAGCAGCTAATGTGTCAAGTTTGGGATCAGGCTTCTTCTCCTGCCTTACATTTTCCAAGTATTTATGAAATTCTTCATCTTTTTTATCAACATCGTCATACGGAACTAGTTTATCGTCGTCGGTAACATTGATCTCGCCTTTGGGAGGTAACGGTAAAGGTCTATCTCTATTCACTTTGTAATGTCGGGATAAACGTTGAATTGTCTTATCATCTCTGATAGCAATATCATCTCTAATGAGTGATGGCTCATCAGGAGAAGTTTCCTCATCAAGACTCTTCGGGTCATTTGATAGCATCGATTTTCTCTTTGGCTCGAGCTTTAAACCTGATTCACTTTTAGAACGGCTGTACACCACTTTCCGTTTTTCTTGGTATTCACCTGTCTCTAATTGTTTCTGTTTATAACGTTTCAGTAGTTGTTCATGGACTTTGTCGAAACCCATCTTTGCTCTATCTTTGATTTTCTGGAATATGTCATCCTTTCTCACCTGTAATAATATTCTTATTGTCTTGATATTAGAGTAATGAATGAATGTAACGAAATTGTGCAACTTTAAAGGCGCATGATACAGTTAAATATAGACATATAGCAGATTGAAAACTACGCAAGCATAACAGAATTTATCGAAACTTTGCATTATTTTAGAAAATGAAAGCAGAAACATTTTAAGCGGCCTCGTTACCTGTCCTTGAAATTAGATTTTTTATGTTCAAGAGCAGATACATCAAAAACGTTCCAATAAATTAATTATATAGTTTTCATTTTTACTGTTTGCCGATATGCAACTCCCTTAACATGTATATAAACTGAGAACATAAGCTTTGGAAAAATCTGACTCGAATAATTACATTGTACTTTAGAAAATATTTTTTACGCTGCCCACAGGGATACGGCTCATTGAATGTTCACAAAATATGTGTTTGATAGCCGAAAACTTGTTTGGGTCGTCAGACCAAACAAATAATGGTAGCGGAATTTCAGAGTCTAATGCTGTTAATTGCAAATGCCGAAAGTAGTCCACTTTTTTTGAAGCGGTTACTTCCCTTTATATGTACACTAACGCCGAAAAATTCAGGGGAGATCACTGCGTAAAGGTGGTCAAAGACAGGCACATTAATTTTCAAGCAAAATAATTCCCGAATGGTCGAAGATTTCTAATATGGTTTTATTGTAAATAAATCGAAATAATATCGAAAATGAGTAAATACAAAGCGGACATTCAATCTCTGACACAGAAGTTTACGACAAACCAAACAACAAGTAGTTCTCAAAACAGCTTAAAACTAGCGATTTAAAAGAAAGAAATATTTTTATTTTGTTACAAGTATCCAACAAATTACAACGCATTCAAAGTTTAAAAATAGCGTTGGCTTATAGAATTGTCAATAAATGCACAATCACAAATTACGCGGATGAATATGATTTTATCAATGAAAATACTATTTTTAGCGATGTCGTTTACCGAATACTACACAAACCGAGTAGTGGAATATATAGATTCTACATGTCGGACTGTTTGGGCGAGAAGATTTTCGCTAAATTATTTACTTCAATTTTAAACAACAGGTTTATCCTGAACAAAATACCTCGAAATTAATAAGGATTACAAACCCGAAATGCAATGGAAGTTCTAAATTTAGAATGACTTGATGTTATTCAGACGTTGTTTGTATAACTTCTCCGTGGTGCAGGAAAACGCGCTCGCTTAGTGAGTGAAAGGTCTGGAGTTCAAATCCCAGTCGAGGAAACTTTTTTTTTTTATTCTTTTTTAAGTGTCTTTGTTAAGGAAGTAGCCATGATTTGCAAGGATAAAGTGTAGCTGTCGTAGAAAAATGAACATAAATGATATTTTGATTCAACTCTAGTTATGCAGAATTCCGTATGTATCAAACTCTGGTGCCTTGCAAAATGAATTATAATACATAAAAATAAACTTATACAGGAAAATACATACAGATATACAGTACGATTTAGATTGCAAAGATCAGAAAATACCACAGAACTTGCAGCCCCTTGATTCTTTATAAATATACATGCTTATAGTAAGCTCCAGGATTATTTACATCTGTGTTAAACAACTGTTAAAGTCGTTACAAGCCCTAATTTAGAATAATATGGTTTTCTTCAAGCCGTTCACATATAAATTCACCGTGGCTGAAGGGTTTTCGCGCTCGCTTAGGAAGCGAGAGGTCTGGAGTTCAAGTCCCAGTAAAGGCAACTCTTTTTTTTTCAAATTGTTTAAGTCAAATAAACATTGGATTGAATATCAGTGTTGCAATTAGTCTTATAGCCAATTTACTACAACTGAAACGCTGGAAAGCATTGGTGGCACTATACATATAATCTCACAACCTGTACCTTTCTTACATTCTGAGACCCAAACAAATTCAGCGCCTTCTGTGCTTTGATTTTTTAACGATGAAGGATAAATAAAAGTAGATTGTAATAATATCTATTCAAGTACACGGACAAAACCTGGTGTTTCACTGGTTAACATAAACTGGTTAACATAAACTATCTTTTAATTTTACCAAGAAATGATTTAAAGAGGTTTACTTTTCAACATTTTTAAACTCGTTTAACAAAATTGTGTATGACGAGTATAAGGAAAACAATGTTGAGATCATAAATAAGCATACAGAATGATTATAATTTTAAATACCTTTATGGTTGGGAGTTGTAAAATTTCCCTTTGCGGAATACGAGCTGAAATTCAAAACGGGTAAATCAATAATGACATTCTGAATAATGTAAAAGTACGTGAATGCGCAAAATGAGCATTAATAATTTTTATTACCACCGATCAGCGTTCGAACCAAATGATATAATCGTACACAGCTTTACAAATCATATTAGATTCGCCTGGTAACTCGTCAGATATGTTATTTTTCAGCTGTGTACTCGTCCTAATATATTCTCGTATTGTACAGTTAAATGTATAGTGATATATAAGTATTATACGCATTAATGTATAATAATCTTATAATCTTAGTCACGAATTGGTTGCATCATGTATTATCATGAAACATTTGTGCTTATTTTAAGTCAAATCTACCCCATATAAAGGTCATGTTTGGAGCTTTAAAAATGTGCCTCTCTGCGAATTTTAAGGATTTCTACATAGTCTAACAAAGAAGAAGCACCAACATAACTTTATATAGCATGAAAGTTTCATTGTGGACCGTCGATCTTATGTCAGTAATATTGATCCCTCGGTTTATATTGCATCATTTGAAGCACGCATGCTATTTCAAATTGTAACCAGTATATTTTTAAACATCTGACCATTACCCTCTTGAAACTGCTACCCACAAAAAAACTTCAAATAATGTTAAAAGCTCTTGATATTACATTAACATCTTTAAAGTTTTCTCCTAAATTTTTCTAAAAGTATGCAAACATTATGATTTTCATTGATATCATTTTGAATTTCAAACATTTTATCTTCTGATCAACTATTTTGATGTACATACTATACAGAAATATAATAAATTTTGTATTTACGAGGAACTGACGGTGCTGGTGGGGGTTCTGTTTGGGGAGGTTTGGGAGCAGATATAGAATCCCGTGTCGGCGTCACTGGAGTCTCGTAATCTTCTCCGTCACTCTCTGTAAATATCAGAAAGATCCTGTTGTTCACTATTATTAAAGTGTACTGTCTAATATTACATCTATAATGGTTACCATAAATGGTATTCAAACATTGAAAAGCTGGAAAAGTCCAATACTTTATAAATGTTTGTAACCACATCGTGAAAGAAATTAGCATGGATTTTACAATTGTTATGCGTTTTTTATTATTTTGTAAGGTTTAAGAATAATTTTTTTATATAACATTAACAGGACTGTCTAAACTTATAAAGCGAAACCGCTCACAATGTTTCACTTAGAATAACATTTAGTTTAAAAAATGCCAGCGCAATGCGACCGGTGTCCCTATTGTTACCTAGTACTTATCTGTTTTAACGAGAATAATTACACCCGCTCTCAAACTTACCTTCTTCACCTTTTTTGTCTATATCTGAAAATTGAAAAAAAAAATGTTCATAGGAAAAAATGAAATTCTTTGTTAATCAATATCAAGAGATTCAGATATGTTCACAAACTAATATTTTAAAGTCTTCAATTACATTTTAGAATTGAAAACAAGTTCATATTTGATCACATTGTAATCTAATGTGAATTTCGCAATATAACGTAAACCCATATGAATTGTTATAAAATGGGCTTTTGTTAATAATTTCTTTATATTCATACACTGGCAAAGACAGACCAAAAATAAAAATAGTGAAAATGGCAAAAATATTTCACAATTATCCTATGCCTTTAAAAAAAATACCATTTTTTATTAATTTTCTGTATCATAAAAAAAATCACAATTATCTAAAATTTAAGTTTACCTTCATTCTCGACGAAAACATTTTCATAATCAGTCAGTACTTTTTCTAAAATTGAAAAGTATCAAAAAATATATACAAGTATATAAAATAAATAAATACATGATTATATGTACAGTAACTGATATCTGCATGGCCACAGACGCTTGGGGGTCAGATCCTGCCCCCCCCCCCTACGTGATACGCCCCTGTAAACACTCTACGCTATGAATAAATACCGTATACCATCAAGTCTACTTTATTGAGACTTGATGGTATACGGTATTTTTTCATATATGCCCATTCGTGTTTAAATATTAAAATAGTTTTGGTAGAGTGTTTACAGGGGCGTATCACGTTGGGGGGGGGGGGGGGGCAGGATCTGACCCCCAAGCGTCTGTGTGCATGGCCTGTTAAATCGTTATATCGTTAAAGATAAGAAATGTAAAGCATACATGTATTTACTTTTCCAACAACTAATGGGAAAATTTTCTTCCTTTTATAATTTATAAAATACATGTACACTGTTTACATTTTTATCTATTTTCTTCATGACATGAGAGTATAATCATTTATGTTTGGAAGATAAAATTATTTTCACGCATATAGATATGATATGATATGATATATGCGCATCTCTAAACTATCGGTGAGAAATAATCATGAAACATGCTTTCCTCTCTAAGATACACTATTATTTAGCCGAAATAATTTTAGCGGCGTCACGACAAAACCAACATAGTGCGTTTACGACCAGCATGGATCCAGACCAGCCTGCGCATCCGCGCAGTCTGATCAGGATCCATGCTGTTCGCTTACCAACTCTTTTACAAGTAGAGAAACTGATAGCGAATAGCATGGATCCTGATCAGACTGCGCGGATGCGCAGGCTGGTCTGGATCCATGCTGGTCGCAAACGCATTACGTTGGTTTTGTCATGACGCGGCTCATTTAATGTTAGTGTCTTGTTTTAAACACATACGTAGTGTCTTACCAATGTTTATGTAGTCCACTAGCTGCTCTGCTAAAGAAGAAGGAAAACAAACAATAGGTTATTGGTTTTATTATCATTATTATATATGTCAGTTTCAATATATATGAATGACTCCAAACTTAATTAGTATACTATTCATTAATTTTATTCTTTTTGGAATGTAAAAATATCATGTTTCATATATTAGCAAATTTCGCCGTCCATTTCTTTTTCTTTTTTTCAGCCAAGTTACCAATTTTGCATTTTTCTAGAATTCTCTAATCATGTTTGGAGGAAGTAGTTTGCATATGAAGTAAGTTTTATTTTTAGAAATTATTAATGGTTTGTTTTCAATATGGCCCTATAGTACAATAATCATATTAACTACAAGAAACAAATGATTATTTTTTTCAAACGCAACTGTCTGATGGATGTATAAACAAAACTGCACACTTATTAATGGTAATTTTATACGGTCTCCGTGCAGCACCTTTACACGTGTCGATGTGTTCGAAATTAAGTTGATCAGTTATTTTCTTGCTGAAATTTCACTGGGAAGAGAAACACGTATAATATGTTCGTAAAAGGCAATGATTTTATCAGGCATCTGTATTCATTATGATAATTAGACTGTGACTGAAATCGACGCAGTAACAACATATCAAATTGAGATAAGGTGACTAATAGGTTTTCTTGAAGGATATGACAGTCAGTATGAAAACCTTAAAATTTAAGATCCCTCCAGTCTGACAAAAATTATTTTGATTAGGTCTACCTTGAAAATCATACTATTGTAGTAAACGTTAACCACACAATGGTAGAAATATGTCAATCTGTGTTTTGCTATTAAGTCTTTGATATAAAGAATTTTATTTTGCTCTGTTGTATACATTCTAAAATGCCGGTGAAAGGTATATAAAACAAAACAATGCCTACCTTCTTTGTTTTGAAAAGGGGCTTTCAACCATATTATACCGGTTTCTAATTGACTCATTGTGTATAATCCCGAAATGATGAAACTGGAATCAAAATTTTCTCCAAAATGTTTTATTATATACTCTTGTTTATCTGCTCTCGACTGAAATTTCTTCAGTTTGACTAATTGTTTATTCCAGATGTTGTTTGGAATCAATCCAACATTTTGTTCGTCGCTTACTTCTGTTTTTGTTCGAACAACGTATAAGGTGCGTCTAACGAACGCTTTCAATATCTTGAAGGGGCCACCAGTTAATATAAGCATTGTACTGGCTTCATCGTCATCTTTAATTACAACATCATCTGCCCATACATTTTGAAATTGGGCGGTCTTTGGAAGAGGAATAAATTTTCCTGCAATATTCAGGAAAGTATGATCATCTGGATCTTCAACTGCCGTGCAGTTTATTGGGAAATCTTCTTTGAAGTAGTAAAGTTTTGATGTCTTTACAGACTTGCATTTGATGTAACGAAACTTCTTAAAGATTGAAACGCGTTTCACCTCAAATGTCGTTCCTTCACTGATGATTGTTGAAGTACGTGACTCTCCCGGAGAAATATATGCTACTTCCTGCTCAATACGTATAAATCTAGGCAAGTCTTGTATTATCTAAAATAAATTAAATACAAAAAACTTTTGTATATATTTATACAAATGCGTTTCAATTTCAGATAAAAGCAAACAAAGTGATTGATTTTAAAAAGAAATTTTCAACTGATAACAAATTTAAGCACTGCATTTTAAATAATTAATGCCTAAAAACACACCTGATCAACGGAAGCATATCTTGCATTTCTCCCGGTCTTATTGAGAAGTTTAAATGTCCCCTTGTACCCGATAGGTATCAAGTACTCCTTCCCGACATATTTCTTTCTCTCTTTTATAAACTCTTCCCCTTTCTCATTTTTCTTTTGTTGTTCGTCATCAAAATCGAGAATTCTAATCAAAACAAACTGTAACGTTTTCGGTTCATTCAGTAGTATGTCTGTGTCAGCGGGTAGTTCCTTAGCATCAGGTACTTCATAGACCTTTGATTCCACATGTACAATAGTAGGATAATCTTTGACCTTTTTATTAACTTCAGATAATGTTACAAGTTTTTCAGGAACATTTTCATATCCTTCCATATCAGTCTCACTTGCCATCACGTGTCATATTTTTCATCAAATATTTCTGTTAGCTAAAACGATGCAGTAGTACGATTTTACCATTGATTCACCAAACTCGTTAAACACGACTCGTTTGTATTCATATTAAATAATTAAAAAAAACCTGTTTACTATCCTGATATGTTTTAGTAATTTTCAATAATTCGTCAAATATATTTGTATTTTGATAACACACGTTCTCCAAGTCCAAACATTTATGAATAGTTAATGTTACTTCCTGGTTTGTTGATCAAGTTTTAACATGGTGTAATGATTACAAATAATACCCCACAACGATAACCAATCGTAAATTATACAAGTCACCCGAATGATTAAAATTGTTGAACGTTTAAAGTCCTAAGTTCATGCCTTCATCTCAATCCAATTTAAATATTAAATATCTGATGAACTTTAAAAAAGCTTTATGCGGGTATTAAAGTGTGTATTCGTCTGTTATCATATTTCTATTTAAGATATCTTATTACAAAGTTATTGTATTACGAGAGACGTGCGGTATAAAATGGTTTAGATATGTTTACTGTGTAAACTGCAAATATTCTCGATATTTTATTTGACAATGCCATTACGAAAACACACACACACAATAGATCACACCCGTGTGCTAATACATCATTTAAGTGATCTTCAAACATTTACAATCAATTAAGTTCACTATTGTTCTATATACTTGTTTAATGTATTTTGGCCACCTTGCATGTAAATATGAAATTGATCTATTTCTTTTTCTTTTCGGAGCAATTAAACTCTAAATAAGCTAAAGAATAAGACATCAAGTCGGTAACGGTCTATTCCAATACATATACTCTGGATGTCAAAATATCTATGCAACCAAAAAAAAACAAAAAAAAAACAAAAAAAAACAAAAAAAACAACAAAAACAACTAAGTGCTCAGTTTTCAAAGACAGATAAATATATTTTTTATTCGAATTTAAACCAATAAATTCAACTTCAAAGGATATGATAGTACATGTTCCCGTATTCCTGAGTATATAATTACATAATATATTACGGAGACGAGCTTATTTAAACAAGTATGCTTTCACTTCTTCTTCCTTGTTCACAGAAATTGTATCCATGAAAGGTTAAAGATGAAAATTATCCTATGAGGTAGTCTATAAGAACGTTTGAAATAATAAAAACTAAACTAAACAATAAAGAATATAAAACATTTCAGGGCGGCATATATTTAGAAAATATTTAGAAACAAACAAAAGACACCCGATAAAGGAACAATGACTTTTTACTTAAAATGAAAGCGTGGTTACCATGGAAATAGTGTAACAACAATAAAGATATGAGCCGCGTCACGACAAAACCAACGTAATTCGTTTGCGACCAGCATGGATCCAGACCAGCCTGCGCATCTGCGCAGTCTGATCAGGATCCATGCTGTTCGCTGTCAGTTTCTCTACTTGTTATAGGGTTTGTAAGCGAACAGCATGGATCCTGATCAGACTGCGCGGACGCGCAGGCTGGTCTGGATCCATGCTGGTCGCAAACCCATTATGTTGGTTTTGTCGTGGCGCGGCTCATATATTAACAAATACTTTCTTATATTTTCAATTTATTTTAAAAAAAAGTATCTCTAAATGAAAGTCAAAATTTGAGCAGACACAACCATCAATGTATTATTTTAACATCCAAGTATATCCTTGACATTTCTTATGGAACGCCTGGACTCTCTTATGTGTAGAATGACTTATACCTGGTTAAATGTCATTCTGTTGAGTCCGAAATACAATATACTTGGTCAAAATCCCAATATGCTGGATGGAAATCCAAATGTGCTTAGTTATTGAAGTGTTATGTTGTGTGCTTATTACATTTTCTTCAGTCAAGTCAATGTTTTGTCGCGTGCATTAGTCGTTATGTCCAGTTCTTAAAACAAACAGGCATGTGGTAACACAATTATGTTCAGAACACAACCATTCACAACGAATTTTATGCCTAGTCTTTTAAAGTAATACTCATGTATGACAGACGTGAAGACCTAACACAACCATCAATGTACTTCTATGAAAATTTACCGTTACAAACGTTCCCAGGAGTAGTGCATATTTTTTCAAAGGCAAAGTGTGAAAATTTAAACTCGATCAGGGAATTGTCTTTAACTTTGGATTATTCATTTTAACCATGTAGATTTAAAGAAAAAATACTCGCTAGTTTATTTTTCCTTCTAACTACCGGAAACGTCTTTAAAGTTTAAGTGTTATCTTGACATTTATGCTACAAACTCTTACTCATTCATCACACATTTCAAGGTTCCACATATGTATCAAAAGTTATTTTATTTGACAATGAAATTGTCTATCAAAGTACTATCATACTTTCTGATACACAAGTGTCACTTACCTTTGGATCGCTGATTAGTTTCTCGTGCACTGAATGTCGTTTTCATAAGTCGCATTGTTAAGTAAAGATATTTCAAAATACACTCCTGTATGACAACATCTTTGATCGGACACAACCATTCACAACCAAGTGTGACCTTCAAGTTTCAACCACAAAATTGGGTGTTGCGTGTGACAAATCGTTTAAGCAAAATTGTTTCAAAATCCAACAATTAAAAAGAAAGTTATAGACGGGACATATTGATATAAAATTTCGGCCTTGACCTTTGTTTGGCTCTTGTGCATAACACAACCCCATATTGTTGTTATTTTGTTACTAGTTATTTTAAAATAAATTTCCGAACGACAAAATTGTTCACCAGAACGTTCTTCAATAATAAATATCTATGATTGCACAAAACACTATTGCATCAGGAATTGTAACATACATGTACAAGTATGACCTTGACCTTTGAACTCGGGACCTAATTCTCATGTCGTCTTAATTGGAAAACAAGAATCCATTCATGAAAGAAGGATTGTTGACAAATATTTTCTCAATTTTCTTTCAAATGAAACGAGACATTGACCTTTGAGATACAAACGCGATGCATTGGCTCAATATACATTATATTTACGCATGTTTTCCCAAAAGACATCTATGAAGAAAATGACAAATCATGGACCGGACACGACCATCTATTCAAAATCATATCGTGACTTAAGATGTACAAGAGTGACTTTTGAGCTGAAGACCTGATTCTTGCGTGTGTCAAGTCACCATTATGTGGATACAGTAATGCCGACTCATTAAAAATTCATTTCAGGATAATAGAATTGTTGACCGAACACGACATCAGTGCACATTTATGAAACATCTCACAATTCAAAAACTTAACGCCTCTTTGGACCATAAAGGTTTTTACTCATCTGCGGTGTCTTATTACACATGTTAAAAGAATGCAGGATTTAAATGTCGTATAAAGGGGATGACAATTCTGTTTCTAGTGTATTTCTGTGTCAAGTTATTATTTCCAAGGCTTATGAAACATTCCCCATAAATTTGTATTGTTCAAATGTAGAGATAGAAGCCCTACATGTTTTTGAGAGATTAAAGGTATACCATACTTTTTTCATTAGTGTCTAATTTTTGTTGTTTGTTTAACTTGTAAAGAAATGAGCAAATAACATTTGCAAATGGTAATTCTTGACCATTTTCCATCAAATTCAGATAGGACATTAAAACATTTGGTCCTGAGAGGCTGGGTGTTGTTGGGGCTGCGTTTAGTAAGTGTCGCCGGCAGCATCTAAATCTTGGGTTTGGTCCTTGATGGCTCGGTGTTGTTGGGGCTGCGTTTAGTAAGTGTCGCTCTCCTTTCCTGATATTTCTTTTCATTTTTTTCATATCCCAAAGATATTGATACAGAAATAAAATATTTACGGCTATTTTCTTTTCCGAATCGAGCAATATTTGTCTTGGAAATGATGCCAAAAATGACGTCAATGTCACGTGGTATGGCCACACTGTTTTTTATGATCGGGAATTTGGGGATTTATAACTATATGTAGAAATACTAAATGAATAAATCTTTTTGCAGAACCGATAATTAAATCGCCCACATTTACCTTGAACTAGCTACGCAATAAATTTGTTTTTAACATTTCAAATATTTTTTTTCTATGTCAACTGCCATAAAAAAATCCTATACCTCAGAGCTATATATATGAACCGGTAAAACCACATTCTCAATTTACGCATTTATTTTATATGACATTATATAATTATTGCCATAGACAGACTAGTTAATGTAAGTAACAGAATATTCTGTAATAATTAAGACTTTATGTGGGTCTCCAACCGTCAATGATTATCTTCCTGATCTTCATTAAGGTAAAGTTTGACAAATTGAACGGTTCACCTTTAAGTTCTGAGCAGTTCAATCTTCAAGAGGAACATCCAACTTATTCTTTACATTTCTTGCAAATTTCTAATCACAATTCTTTGGAAATGAAAGTTTGTGAAATTGTAGCTATAGAGTCTTTGTTTTCCATTGTTCTTCATTCCTCGAGTGTCCGCCCCACGAAACGCTAATTTGCGCTGTCGGTAAAATGGGGTCACTTGATGAAGCAAACAATGGTATGTGTTGTTGACGTCTTTGTCTACCAGATAACGGTGTATTGTAAGCAATTATTTCTTCACTTGGTTGTGGAATATCAAGTATTTCTGCGTATTCTTTACTTGAGGACGGGTTCACATCGTACGTATTGTTTGAATTGCTGTTTGTTGGAGGACATGTTGCGTTTGGTAGGTCACCTAATGATACGGATAATCGAAGCTGCATGGGCTTATTTCCCGACAATCGACCGACAGAATTGTCATCAGAGAATTCTAAATAACTAGCATTCCCGTACAGCTTTCTTGTATATCTTAGACGTATGGGTTCATGTCGCGTTTCAATTAATGGCGCGCTTCTTGAAAAAGAATCTTGTGATTCTTTCGTGTAGCGTCTCGTCACTTTCCTCTCTGCAATTGGCCGCTTCTTTAAATGAATGAAAGCTGCCTTCTCATCGTTGTTTGATTTAAATAAGCGCAGTAGCTCTCCATGTACCTTCTTAAACAAAGTTTTCTTTTTCTAAAATGATATGACGGTAAATTCTTGTTCTATAAACTGATTAATTTATATCGTTTTAAATAAGACGTATGCATGCTCGCGAGTCAACTGTTTGCCTATGATAAGATCATTGATGTTAGATTGAATAATTTATATAAACAACTAAAAGCTATTACCTAATATTTAAAAATAAGTGAAACACATTATTATGACAATAAAATTCGTAAAGGATGATAAGGACAGATGTCAATATATTATAGCGTTGATATGTTATGTGTTAATATACTGTACTGTGGTATTCGCAGTTTAATGATATTCTGTCTCTATAACTAATATAATCAATTTGTTATTTCCCGCGCCGCATTGATATAGATTGTTTGCTACTGTAGTTTTCAGTCAACCGACGTTGTTAAATTTTCTGACACAGCCTGCCATCCAGATGTATTGATTTATTGACGGTAGAACGGGCACGCATCAATAATGAAGGTCCAAAGTCTCAGAAGTGGATCTTCGAACGCCTAATGTTTCAACGTTAGGCAATTGATAGAATGAACTTTTAATACTGCAATTTGTTAGGTATTATTATACAAGGGCATTCACTATACAGTAATTCATGTTGTTTCAATTAGTGAGGCACTTTGTTAAAAGTCTCTGTTTTAATTGTAAAGATGAGACGTGTATGGTTTGTTTGACATATTTTCTTCATCTTCTGAACACTTAATTTGCATTTATGATTATTCTCATATATTTATTGAATATAATTGCTTTTAATGTATTAACACAAAGTTACATCTTGGATAAGTAAATTTTAATTGCATATCAATACCTTAACTTGAGGCAGAAGAACAACTGGTCCTCGATACATCATTTCTGTAAACAATATATATATAATTAAAAATAGTTTTATTTCCTTTATTTATACATGTATTTTGTTTCATTGAACACTCATTTATTATATGTAAATGATAGATAGATTATACAACTTAAAATGTCATATTTTTATAACCATCTATTGTCAAACAAAAGGGTAAGGAAAAAAAAGTGGTTTACCATTTACGCCGTCGGGGTCAGTATCCACACTATTTGTGCTTGAATAGTTACATTGACGTCGGAAGTCCGGGCCAATCAAGCTAACAACGTGACGTTGGTGTATTGGTAATAGATATAAAGACTTTTCTATGAAATCAACTTCTCCGACAGGTCCGTATAAACGTGCAATGTGTCCTTGGGATTTTTCTTTGTTTCCAGAACATTCTGCGTGAACAAATAATGATGTCCAAAGGTCCCAAGGAATCAAAATGGTCTCGTATGTTTCATTTGATTCATTTCGAATATATCCAACAAGCATCTCTATGTCAGTGAAGCCTAGTAATTCCATTGGATGGTCTACTGCTGTTATCGTTTCATTGTGTAAAGTATCATCTAGGTGTGTAATTTCATTCAGGTCGACTTCATCAAACTGAATAAATCTAGGAAGGAGTTTGGATCGCACAAGTTCAAATAAATTGTACTGCTTTGGATCATCTATAGCAGTGCAGTTTAGTCTTTCTTGATCGTTAAAGGCAATTAATGTCTCACCATTACTGCATTCAAGGAATGTTTGATTGTCGTTTGGTCTTGTAAATTTTCTGACAAGTTCAAGCGTAGCACCAGCTTCAACTGTAGTGTACTCATCTACATCACTACTATGTGTAGCTAGAGTGTCCTCCCACACAGTTATAAAGCGAGGTAAATCGTACAGTACCTGCAATTTTATAGCCGATTTTATCATCAATACATTTTAACCTGGTACACTTTATAAATATCGCTTGAAATGAGTCCAGGAAAAGAAAACGTTCAAAAATGCACCGAGACACAACCCCTACGTATAGTATCTAGTAAAAGAATGAATACCGAAACCCTGATGCCACAATTATATTTTGGAATGCCAATGTTAGTATTAAATATAGAAATATCGTGTTGTCTATAAAGACTATAATCAAATATATCACGACGCGTCATGCTCATGCTTTGACAATGGAAGGCAGATGGCACTGACATCTTTCAAATAGAAAAGGCAAGAATCCCTGAAGAAAGTCAAACACAAAGTCGCGTATGCATCAGGGACCTTAGACGTAACATTACGGTCTTTAAACATATGTATCAAGAAAATTAAACGTGTGCTGAGGCCTAAGACGAAACATCAGCCGCCTTAGACGTAAAATCAGACAATTAAAAACCGAAACCGATTTCATCGATTAAATGCACATATTTCTTTTTGTGCATAATTAACTAGCAATAACCTGATGAACTGAAATATAATAGCTTTATAATATTAAACTGACGTGCAGTACAATCCAGATTATGATCTTTATTGCATATTACCGGTAAATATTAATTACGATGTTCATCCTTTAAAAATGTACAATTTTTAACAAACTTCAACGGTGTTCAGTTTTATGTGTATCCCCAAGTACGAATGTTTCAAATGAAATGAACTCTTTTACTCGTATATACAGATTGACACATTCATTAAACATGAATTGTTAACTTAAAATATGTACCTGAGATACTGACGCATATCGTTTTCTACTTCCTGGCCGGTGAACATACTTAAGTTTCCCATGATACTTGACAGGTAAGAGATAATGATTATCCCCGATGTCATCACTATCCCGTTTATTCCGGATTCCATCATACGACTTAAACACGTTGATATGCGCGTATTTTACTAACATTGTCCTCTGTAATAACATTTCTTTATTTTCCGGCATACCTTGGTTACCAAAATAACCTTGTCTATCTCGATGTATGGATGTTTTAACTATTATTGGTAACGTCTGCCTTTGAAGCAATTTATAAATCGTTATTTCCATTTCGTTGAATTTGATCGAAGCGTTTGTTGTAACTCCTGCCATTGTGACATTGATAATCTTGGTAGCATAGAAAACGAAACTATATTAAATTGGACTATGTATTGTAAAATACTTATGTATATTTCAAGTAAGATTTCATTTCCTGTAGCTATTTTCTGAAAATAAGTTAACAATAATAACAAGGAAGATTAATTATTAGCACAATGAAGTATATATTAGTACAATGAAACTTGTAAAAAATCGCATTTCCGTTGGGTGTCCTTTTTTTTTTATCTTAAACAAGATGAAGGGACAAACTTTATATGATCTCATCGAACGGAAAGGATTGACCTTTTTGAAAATACCATCAACACTTTAGCTAAATATCATTTATTCTGACTTGAAAAATTGTATTAAATCTCGTGTAATCAAATTGATATATGGACTTTTTCTTAGAAGTATTGAGTGAAAGTTGTGCTGGTAGTAAACAATTGAGAAGAAGTAAGATGAATTCTAAGAATAAAATGAGCCGCGTCACGACAAAACCAACGTAATGCGTTGCCAACGTTATGCGTTTGCGACCAGCATGGACTCAGACCAGCCTGCGCTTCCGCGCAGTCTGATCAGGATCCATTGCTTTTCGCTTACAAACCCTTTTACAAGTCGAGAAACTGATAGCGAACAGAATGGATCTTAATCAGACTGCGCGGATGCGCAGGCTGGTCTGGATCCATGCAAACCCTTATGTTGGTTCTGTCGTGACACGGCTCAAATGGTATATGGTTTAAGGCATCTGACTTGAACAGATTGCCAAAAATGTTTAGTTTATTGTTATCATCATTCAGTGTCCTTGTTAAGGAGGCACGAGCGGAAACCTGAGTAGCACCACCGACCTTCCGTGACTAGCTGGATAGATTCCTCACGTGGAAGAATCCAAAGTCTATGTCGGGTTTCGAACCCATAGCGGTTAGGAACAAATGGTTTAAGTCAGTAGATTAAATAGAGAAATTCCTTGGATAATACAATCATGTATGATTCAGAATAATAGTTTTAGGCCGCAAGTTTGGAATAATTTCAGATTTAAATTTTTATCGCCCCAGAGGTCTATGCAGATCTGTTTAAGGATGAAAGTTTTAAACATAGTACACGTATACACAAAGTCTTGCTTTTTACAGGGTCATTTAAAAATATGACTGTTATTTGGCCAATTCCAATTCCCATTTAGAATGAGTTTAATCCATGGCATGCTTTTATGGTATAAGCCTCGTTGAAATGTAAGTATTGATAGGAATATGTCAATTATTAGAAGCGTTAAATCATCAAAGTTGATGTTAATTTTTATGTATTTTTGGTAGATTTATATACAAAATAATGTTTAATTTGCAAGTACCATGGATGAGAGATTGCCATGAGGTATAATATAGATACCTATATAACTGGTACTTAAAGATAAATTCTATTATAGTGACTTTATTTCACCTTTTTGCAATGGTTTAGAAATATTTGTGTCCTATGAGCCGGATCCTCGCAGCAAGTCATTACTCATATCAATCGTCATTAATGATGATCAGTTTTTATTGTAATAAACATTTCTTTATTTAATTCAAACGTACAGTAAAATAGAATATCCCAAAATATATTCCAAACTTTATTACTCTAAAACGTTACTTGTACTGACTTATATAATTGAGCTTAAACAATGATTTTTTTAGCACTTCTGTGCACAAGGAAACATATCAAGGAAAGTAGGCGATGAATTTATGGTTAATAATACCGACGACATACAACTATTGAAATAGTTTAGATATAGCGGTTGAAAAATGAAATAGTAAAGTATATATAAAAGTGTTTTTTTTTACACTAAGGAATCTAATGACCGTGTGATATTGTACTTGCTGTGTGGATGCTGCATCTTATTGTTAAACTTAATCATTTAAGCAATTTTATTTTATGCTTTTCAGTGGATTACTGATTTATCCGTGAAAATTATATTTGATAATTTCACAGTGAAAATTATCAAAATATAATTTCACTTTTTTCAATGACGAAACTACTTTTTTAAGATTTTCCCCATGTGGTACCTCAATATTATTTTTACTGACAATTCTGACAATATCAGGCTGTTAAAAAAATAGCCAAGCTGAAATAGATAAATAACATAAATGTCAAAGTAATAAAGAGAGAAAACTTACTTCTATTCCTTCAAATTCCAATCACAAAATTACGTCTCTAAATTTTTTTGTTTCGTTTTAACAGTCTGAAAAATACATTCCTTCCCATGCAAAACTGCTCATGATGACATTTGGGCATATTAAAGTATCCTACGAGCAATAAACTGCCGTATGCTTTATGAAAAATTGAAAAGCATTGACAGCTATCACTCGTAAAATAAGTAAAAATCAACCCAGCGTTCCTTACAATGCCTTAGCAAGCTTCCAAGTTTTTCCATTTTCCTAGCTTCTTTCTGAATGTTTTTCACTTCTGTCCAATTCTTATTTTTTGTCTGTTTACAATCCTCAAATAAGTTTTCTTTCTTTTAAAAAGGTGCGATGACTAACAAATCCAAAATTATATTCCTTCTGTATCTTACACAATTATTTTCCTCCCATGAAATACACGACTTTAAAAAAGTGGCTGCCGTTTTTACATTTTACAAAGCCAGGTCTAATATAAAATTCGCAGTAAGTAACAGGAAATAATGAGATGGATTGGTTGGACTTTTTCTCCTTACAAGAAATTGTTTGTTTTTTATTATTAAAACAAGCGATCATTCATATTTTATAATAAAATGAATAAATATCACATTTCATTTAACCTTCATTGGTGGACTTATTTTTTCAGCTCAAGACATTTTTTTTTTATGAGAAATTCCTTCTAAATGGGGCTCTCAAAATGGGGGAAACAGATTTTAAATCAACGTTAAAATTATGGAAAATTTCGTTTTAACTTGTTTTTAAAGCATAAATAAAAAGAAAATTTGTCTGTTTGTTGTGTAAGATGTAATTTTATTTCATCTCGTGAACTTTAAAACAGGTATTCTCACTCGTGGCTACGCCACTCGTTATCGAGAATACTGTTTTTAAAGCCCACTCGATGAAATAAAATTTCAATCTACACACAAACAAACAAATATCCTCTAATAATATTTGGGTCTGTTTTTAGGAAGTAATTAATCTATAAAATTGATAATTTTTCTTGCTTATACTAGTGTTCAGTGATGATCAAACAAAAAGCAAACAATCCGAAACGCTACTTGTTTTAAATTGACATAATTTAGTTAAATAATTATTAAGTTTTTTCCAATTGTTATAATGTAATTTGCTTTTAATTTTGTTTTCTTTACAATAGTACAAAATATCTTTTTTAAAAATACTCGGCCAAGTTTTAACCCCTTTAACCCTGCAAAATTAAGGGCATTTTAAAGTTTTTTTAATACAAAAAATTCAGTTATGCTTTTCATAACAAAGATTTTCAATTTTTTTCTTTAACTTTAAGAAAAAAAACCAAATTTTTAAAAAAAAAATTAAAAACAAGCTATTTATATTGGGAAAATTTTCCCCAAAAAGGGAAAAATTTTATTTAAGGGGCCCTTTTTCTTGTTTTACTTTTTCAAAAATAACTTTTTTAATCTTTTTCAAATTTTCATACAGGGCATTACATTTATTTTTTTTAAACCCCTCCTTTTCCCAGGGTTGAGGCGATGACTTTTTAATCCCGTTTCCCCCTCTGGCGTGGGTTTCGATCCCGGAGATGCTTTGGTATTTTTAGCGCGGAGGAAGGTAGTCCTAGTACTGGTGTTAACTCTCCAGGAACGATGGTTAGGAAACTACCCGCCTATAAATGACTGAAATACTGTTGGGAAGGCGGGAAAAACGAAACAAACAAACAAACATTTTATTTTACCATGCAGCTATACCTAGAAAATGGTAAGAACTATCCTTTACATTTTATTTTAAAATGGTTAGAACTGTCCTTTACATTTTATTTTAAAATGACCAATGATATTCACCGATTTCAGTTTGTCATTTTTAAAATGACCAATGAAAATTCCTCTTATATTCAGTCCTTCCCTGTTAATTTTACAGGTAGTCAATCTGATAACAGACGAACTTCGTCCGAAAAAAAAATCCATTCAAATGACATTCTTCGCTGTCAAAACCTTGACTGACTTAGTTCAAGAATTAATATCGGTCTGACAAACCTTATTTTTGCTATTGTTTTATTTTTATTTTCATTTTATCCTTGGTTTACATTAAATAATTTCATGAAATTCCTTTTCCATTTTATATTTATGTTCCATTTTAGTTTAAATCGGGTACTGAAAATTCTTCATAAATATAGCGCCTTTGTTAAAGAAAATGTTTAAGTAACAAGAAAAAAAAAATAGAAACACAATTCATTTATAACAATAAAAAGAGTCAGCTACATGACATTTTTCGCATGCTTTGACTGTGAATTATTTGCCGTTTGGATAAGAAAATGTTTTAAAATTCAACGACAGATAAGTCGAAAAACAAGGTCTATGACTTCGCATAATATGTTACTGTTATCATGTTTATAGCTCGTGCAAAGTTTTAAATAACTTCTATTACATTGTTTTCATTCTGCCTATATGCATGTTTAGTAACTTCTTTATCAATTACACATCCGCTATGGAAAAATCTAACGTTTTTTTATTTTTACATCAAACAATATTTCTAATAATACGCGCGTATTTTGTTAGCAGTGTAACTACAGTGCTACAAAAAAAATTTGGATGATTTCTTGGTTTTTAAAATTAAAACGCGCACCCAAATTAACAATTAAAATTTTATTTAAAAAAAGGGCAAACTTTTTTTCATTTTAACTGACCCGTACACCGGTAGAATCAATTTTTGGGCCCTTTAAAATATTGCCAAAAACATTTCATTTTTTTTGAAAAATTTTTTATTCATTAAAAGTAAAACAAAAAAAACAGCATCGCATTTCCATCCCCAATGAGAACGTAACTTTAAACCCTTTTTTTAAATATTTAATTTTTGGTTTTTTTTGTTTTCACTACCATAGTCCCTGACGGGTATCTAACCCGGAATAAAAATTGGCATTCCTGGGGTTTTAAAGGGTGGGCTAATGTCTCTAAATTTTTAGGGGCTTTCAATTTTTTGCTGATCTTCAACAATCTTTGGAATATTATCAACGCTAACACTGCGTAAACTATGCACCCTCTCTGAAACGAAGAAATTATTGGCAATGGACTATCAACGTCGTTAGCGAGTATATTTGGTTTTGATGTATGGACGTTAAAGGTACGTTTTGGTCAGCAGATTTATCATGATCTAGTGGTTTACCATGTATGGAGATCCATCTACTGTAACTCTGTTGTAACCCCCTTCGTCTTTTTTACTTTCGAGTCAAACGTGTATTGCAAATATTTTGAAAATCTTTCTCCTCAACATCTTGATGCATCTGTCGTTTCGATCTCTGTACCTGTACCAACGCTGACAATTTTTTTATAGAATTTCACTTTTCTATCATAATCTTTAGCAATGTCTTTGTGTTTACGAGAAATATAATTGTTTCTTCCTCGGATAGTCTCGAAAAGATTCAAATATGGCAGTCATTTGTGTATCATCAAACTCCTTGAATTTACTTTCCAACCACACTTGGCTTTGTCTCACAATTGGATCTTTAATGACTGTAAATGTAGATAAATAATTTTTCACAGTAAAAGGAAGGGTGTGAAGAGCATGAAGAATTTGAAAACATACGTATTTGTACAGTGATTAATTGAAATAGTGTGTGTCAAAATGATGTAAATGTCGCTGTTTTCAATAGAAACGATCATCTTTTAAATATACTAATTATTTTATATACGTGCCGATCCATTAAATGTAAATATGTATATAACAAATAATTTTATATTTTAACAGGAACTTTATGTTCACCTCAGGAACATGTGCTTCAACAAGAACATTCACATGAATCATTCGATTTTAATACAAAAGTATTCAACGGTAACATAATCAAATAAACCTATTAAAATTATGGTGGCATATTTCTGCCACCAGATAACCATATAACTAACTAGTTAATTAAGAGGTTAACTAGTTACGTAACTAGTTAACCTCTTAATTAACTAGTTCGTTATATGGTTAACTAGTTTTACGTAACTAGTTAACCTCTTAATTAACTAGTTTAGGAATCAGGTTAACTAGTTACGTAACTAGTTAACCTCTTAATTAACTAGTTAGTTATCAGGTTAACTAGTTACATAACTAGTTAACCTCTTAATTAACTAGTTAGGTATCAGGTTAACTAGTTACGTAACTAGTTAACCTCTTAATAAAACTAGTAAGTTATCAGGTTATCTGGTGCAGAAATATGCCACCATATAAAATGCATGTATTTGACTTATTTAAAATAGTTTCTTACCTTGGACCTTCCTAAATACTGATTATTACTAAGATGTTGCGTCCATGTATTTTCCTTCGATGATAAAAAACATCGTACTCTTCAAAATGTACGTTTGAAATATGTACACGATTCACCGCTTTGTTACACTTAACCGATAACGCCATTAACACTCAATGACCCTTTGCTAATTGAAAACCTTAAAATGATTCCATTGTTTTTTAAAGTATTTTAATTCTTAGCTATTGAACCAAGAACAAAGAGCAACATGTGTGAAGCCATATTTTTCAATTCATTATCTGTAAAAGGGAAAGTTACAAGCACTGACTGTTTAATTGACATTTAATCCATTTTAGACCGCCTGTATATAAGTTTTCCTATTAATAAAGGTGTACATAAACATGTCAATCGATTAAAAAATTTATTGTTTTAAAATTAAATCATAGCATATTTATATTGATGATATTTCAAAGAAGAACAACTTCTATTTAAGGTGTCCCTTTTACTTGTTTTACGTTTGACTAAATATAACTTTTGTAATCTTTTACAAATTTACATACAGACTATTACATTTATTTTACAACCGCCTCCGTGGTCGAGGGGTTAGAGTCGATGACTTCTAATCCAGTTCCCTCTCTGGCGTGGGTTCGATCCCCGGGAGATGCTTTGGTATTTTAGCGCGGAGGAAGGTAGTCTAGTACTGGTGTAACTCTCCAGGAACGATGGTTAGGAAACTACCCGCCTATATGACTGAAATACTGTTGGGAAGGCGGAAAACGAAACAAACAAACAAACATTTATTTTACCATGCAGCTATCCTAGAATGGTAAGAACTATCCTTTACCATTTTATTTTTAAAATGGTTAGAACTTGTCCTTTACATTTTATTTTAAAATTGACCAATGATATTCAACCGATTTCAGTTGATCATTTTTAAAATGACCAATGAAAATTTCCTCTTATATTCAGGTCCTTCCCTGGTTAATTTTTACAGGTAGTCAATCTGATAACAGAACGAACTTCGTACCCGAAAAAAAAAACCATTCAAATGACATTCTTCGCTGTCAAAACCTTGACTGACTTAAGTTCAAGAATTAATATCGGTCTGACAAACCCCTTATTTTTTCTATTGTTTAGTTTAATTTTTCATTTTATCCTTGGTTTACATTAAATAATTTCATGAAATTCCTTTTCCATTTTATATTTATGTTCCATTTTAGTTTAAATCGGGTACTGAAAATTCTTCATAAATATAGCGCCTTTGTTAAAGAAAATGTTTAAGTAACAAAGAAAAAAAAATAGAAACACAATTCATTATCAACAATAAAAGAGTCAGCTACATGACATTTTCGCATGCTTTGACTGTGAATTATTTGCCGTTTGGATAAGAAATGTTTTAAAATTCAACGACAGATAAGTCGAAAACAAGGTCTATGACTTCGCATAATATGTTACTGTTATCATGTTTATAGCTCGTGCAAAGTTTAAATAACTTCTATTACATTGTTTTCATTCTGCCTATATGCATGTTAGTAACTTCTTTATCAATTACACATCCGCTATGGAAAAATCTAACGTTTTTATTTTTACATCAAACAATATTTCTAATATACGCGCGTATTTTGTTAGCAGTGTAACTACAGTGCTACGATAAAATAATATTGGGTTGATTCGCTTGGTTTATTAACATTAACTCACACCCAACTTAACAAGTGTACATTTTTATTAACAAAATTTTGCAAAAAATTATTCTTTTTTTACTTTAAAAGTAACCACGGTAGAATCATTTGGCCATTATATTAATTTTCACAAAACATTCCCTTTTTTTAAAATTTTTTTTTTCTTAATTTTAAAAAAAAAAACAGGGATACCAAATTTTCCAACCCCAAAGAGACGATAACTTAACCGTATTTTTACTATTAATTTTGGGTTGTTTTGTTTTCACTACGTCATAGTCATGACGGATATCTAAACTGGATATAGATTTAGGCATTCCTGGTTTAAAGGCTGGACTAATGTCTCTAATGTTAGGTCTGTCAGATGTTTGCTGATCTTCAACAATCTTTGGAATATTATCAACGCTAACACTGCGTAAACTATGCACCCTCTCTGAACGAGAAATTATTGGCAATGGACTATCAACGTCGTTAGCGAGTATATTTGGTTTTGATGTATGTGACGTTAAAGGTACGTTTTGGTCAGCAGATTTATCATGATCTAGTGGTTTACCATGTATGGAGATCCATCTACTGTAACTCTGTTGTAACCCCTTCGTCTTTTTACTGTTCGAGTCAAACGTGTATTGCAATAATTTTGAAAATCTTTCCTCAACATCTTGCATCTGTCGTTTCGTCTCTGTACTGTACCAACGCTGACAATTTTTATAGAATTTCACTTTTCTATCATAATCTTTAGCAATGTCTTTGTGTTTACGATATAATTGTTTCTTCCTCGGATAGTCTCGAAAAGATTCAAATATGGCATCATTTGTGTAATCAAACTCCTTGAATTTACTTTCCAACCACACTTGGCTTTGTCTCACAATTGGATCTTTAATGATCTGTAAATGTAGATAAGATATTTTTCACAGTAAAGGAAGGTGTGAAGAGCATGAAGAATTTGAAACATACGTATTTGTACAGTGATTAATTGAAATAGTGTGTCAAAATGATGTAAATGTCGCTGTTTCAATAGAAACGATCATCTTTTAAATATACTAATTATTTTATATACGTGCCGATCCATTAAATGTAATATGTATATAACAAATAATTTTATATTTTAACAGGAACTTTATGTTCACCTCAGGAACATGTGCTTCACAAGAACATTCAATGAATCATTCGATTTTAATACAAAAGTATTCAACGGTAACATAATCAAATAAACCTATTAAAATTATGGTGGCATATTTCTGCCACCAGATAACCATATAACTAACTAGTTAATTAAGAGGTTAACTAGTTACGTAACTAGTTAACCTCTTAATTAACTAGTTCGTTATATGGTTAACTAGTTACGTAACTAGTTAACCTCTTAATTAACTAGTTAGGAATCAGGTTAACTAGTTACGTAACTAGTTAACCTCTTAATTAACTAGTTAGTTATCAGGTTAACTAGTTACATAACTAGTTAACCTCTTAATTAACTAGTTAGGTATCAGGTTAACTAGTTACGTAACTAGTTAACCTCTTAATAAACTAGTAAGTTATCAGGTTATCTGGTGGCAGAAATATGCCACCATATAAAATGCATGTATTTGACTTATTTAAAATAGTTTCTTACCTTGGACCTTCCTAAATACTGATTATTACTAAGATGTTGCGTCCATGTATTTTCCTTCGATGATAAAAACATCGTACTACTTCAAATGTACGTTTGAAATATGTACACGATTCACCGCTTTGTTACACTTAACCGATAACGCCATTAACACTCAATGACCCTTTGCTAATTGAAAACTTAAATGATTCCATTGTTTTAAAGTATTTTAATCTTAAGCTATTGAACAAGAACAAAGAGCAACATGTGTGAAGCCATTTTTTCAATTCATTATCTGTAAAAGGGAAAGTTACAAGCTGACTGTTTAATTGACATTTAATCATTTTAGACCGCCTGTATATAAGTTTTCCTATTAATAAAGGTGTACATAAACATGTCAATCGATTAAAATTTATTGAAAAGTTTGGTAATATAACGATCAGTAAGAGACTGTATGTAACTTGTTATACACGAGGTAAGGCATTGTAACATTACAATGATATGTAATGGAATCACAATGGATCAGTTTCATTTGTATGGGTTGTGCAGTTTATGTTTCGTTTTATAGCATAATATTTTCCTTTTCAATACGAGAATCATAAATGAAGACGTGCACATACAATGTCATGCGTTTTACAATAATTATATTATAATCTTCCTAGATCGTGTTGAAAAGATATAAACGGTCATTCAAACAGCTTAGTCAACATCTACCACCTATTGTTTCAGACTCTCTATTAAGGCGGAAAACTGCTACTATCGGGCTAACGTTACTATTGATCAATTAATGCCATCTTATTCTATTATAATAATAATATTATAATGATTCAGAATTGATGTTGTTTTTGTTTCTGGTTATTACAACAAAGTCGTTCAGTCCATAATATGTCTAAGTCATGAATTTATGTTACAATGAATGTAGAACTTAGTCATATCAGGTTACCGTTGTTATTCATTCTTAAATCAATGTTTGACATTCTATTCCGCGTATTGTACATTGTTCGATGACTTTGATATATCATTTATAATTATGTATGTTCGATTTAATACATCATCTACTGTTTACAAGACGTATTTCATGATTTACAATTCTTTTTACGGTTACAAAATACAACAGACATCATTTTGTTGATGCCAATATTTATGTCAATGTTCACATCCCAAGCAGTAATATGTGTGAATCGTCATAAGCACAACATCAAATTGATATATACTGTTTGTTTAATATTGTTTATAAAAAAATGCCACGTAACAATACATTAATCTGTGAGGCTATATTTCCGGTACTTAAAGACTGTTCAGCACAGCATTATTATTGTGTTTGTGTTACTTTTATAGTCCTTTATATTTAGATATTTCTAGTTGGGAGGTTCCAGTATATCTACTTGAATATTGCATAATCACCTTTACGTTGTCTGCTTTTTTACAGTACATAAAAAATATAAATATTTTGTGAAATAAAAAAGCATATCTGAAAATAAAGTTGTTTTGGAAAATCACCAACATCATAATTATATAACAAGATTCATATCTATAGCATTTAAATTTCGAGAAAAGTGACCACATGTATTTCTTTCTTAATTTCCTTGTTATTTCCTTAATTTTCCTTGACTTAAATATGTGGTTAAGGTGCTTCCCTTTCATAGCTGTGTCATAATCAGACATGTAAAAATAGATTGCCACGTAATGAAAGATATTGCCTTTGCTGTAACAATGTTGATATAGAGGACGAATACCATTTCATATTGATATGCCCATGTTTCTTAGAAATTAGAAAAAAGTTTATTAAAAAATACTACTATAAAAGGCCTTCCATGATAAAGTTTATTGAACTACTATGTAGCAATCAAAAGAATATATTATTTAATCTGGCAAAATATATAAAAGAGTCATTAAATTACAGAAATACTATTGTTAATTCTGTCAGATAAATTTGATTTATGATTATATATGTCTTTATTAAAGAATATATAAATTTCATTCAACATTTTTATGTATAGATTTTTTCTGAAGATATGTCTGCTATGTAAACATGTATATTTAATTATGTTTAAAACAGTTTATCCTCAACACTATAATATCAATTTTTGTTAATTTGAAATAACATTCTAGAATAATGACTAAAGTAACGTGACATTGTCTTTAAAGTTTGTTTTAATGCATTGGAAATTAGTATTGAAAATGTATTGTAATGTATTGCAATGTATTATCACACTATGTATGATTATGATTATGTACTATGTACAAGTCGAAATAAAATAATGTTCTGTTCTGTTCTGTTCTGTAAAATTGACACTTCTGTCATTTTGCAAAAACTGGTACCGATACTGAATTACTCGCTCAAAATGTGATTCTGCTTGTACAGGTACTGCATAATTGTTCCAAAGTGTCCGCAGGTATTAGTGCTAATGTAAACGCTTTTTCAACTCAAACTCGGAATTTCCGGCTGAATTCTGAGAGCTACAGTCTTAATTCCACAAAACCCAATTTAGTAACATGTGTCCACTGCTATTAGTATGATTGTCGGATACTCGGGAATTTTGCCGACGTAAAGCCGAAATTCAAATGCAAATTGAGGATATTAAATGTACTGAATTTATTGCACGAGTTCAATAAAATTATATTATGCGAACCTCTGGCGAGCATAATATTTTTTTATTCAACGAGTGCAATATATCCAGTATTGAACTTACATGAATTTGATATTCTATTTAAAACATACCCAAAATAAAGACCGTTTAAAGTGAAATAAGTGTCATTTTTCATTGACGCGCCTATAGTGTTACGCTAACATTTAGCGCGTCTTGTATAACGCTAATGACGTCACGTCAAAATATATGCACGGCCGTGCAATACAATATTTACGGAGTCGCAAAATCGGCACGGGTGTGTGATAAAGCCATTTAATAAAAATGATGTTACACTAGACAATATTACACTAGTGTAATAACACTTTGACGTGGCGTCATTTGCGCTATAAACATAGCGTTAAAGCGTGCAAATGTTACCGTTACACTATAGGCGCGTCTAATATAAATGACTCTTATTAACAGTTTACCGTTCTTATTAAATAGAATATTATATTCGTGTAGGTTCAACAATACGAGCTTATAAAATTAAGAAATCTCGAGAATTAATTGAATTAAAAAACAAGAAGCCTCGTGACTTCTGGAAACATTTCAAGACTAAGTGTAACAATGAAAATGGTAATATTCCGGCGGATGAATTTAAGACGTATTTTTCGAATTTATATAGTGATATTAGCACAACGGTAATTGACGACGTGGAACGCTTTAACGAAAGTCACGATTTTAATGTCAATAACCCTACATTCCATGATTTAAACGTTCAAATATCTCTACAAGAAGTTACTAACGCAGTTAAGGGTCTTAAGCGGAACAAATCTCCTTGTCCTAGTGATCAGTTAATAAATGAATATTTTATAGAAACAATAGATATTATAGGTAGTCATATCACAGATTTATTTAACAAAGTTTTTAATTCGGGACATTTCCCTGAGTCTTGGTCACAAGGATTATAGTACCCATTCATAAAAAGGGGGACAAAAACATGAAAAATAATTACCGCGGGATTACCTTGATAAGTAATTTAGGTAAACTTTTTACCAGTATACTTACAATTACATCTCGAGTAGAAAATTGGTTTGAGAAGAACAATTTTATTTCGGACGCCCAATTTGGTTTTAGAAAGGGTAGAAGCACTGTTGACGCAGCATTTGTATTACATAGCATTATAGAACATGTTTTATCACAAAATTTAAGACTGCCCTGCGCATTTATTGACCTACAAAAAGCATTTGACTCTGTATATCGTAATGCATTATGGTTTAAACTTTTTAACATGGGTCTTGATGGCAAAATATTACAAATGTTTAAGGCTATGTACGCGATAGTTAAATCGTGCGTTAAGAGTTGTAATAAGTGCTCAGAATTTTTCGAAATATCCATTGGTCTCAGACAGGGCCTCAATAATTCTCCGGCATTGTTTGCTCTCTTCTTAGAAGACTTAGAACTTTTTTTACAAGATACAAATACATCAGGTCTATCATTTTATGACGTTTGTGTAATTATATTAATGTTTGCCGATGATATGGTTTTAATTGGCAACTCCACGCAAGACTTACAGAATAGTTTGAATAAAATTATACGAGTACTGTAGTTACTGGGGTCTCAAAGTTAATATAGATAAAACTAAAGTTGTAGTATTTCGTAAAAGGGGTCCAGTTAAACAGGAAGAACGATGGTATTATAACAATCAACCTTTAGATATAGTGAATGACTTTAATTATCTGGGCATTGTATTTAATTATACTGGTTCATTTGTTTTACATAACCAATACGTTATTGGTAAAGCATTGAAAGCGAAACACGTATTGTTAGGTAACATTAATAAATTCGATCTAAGTCCAACGTTATCCATGAAACTATTTGATGCATTCGTAGGTTCTATTTTAAATTATGCCTGTCCGATATGGGGATTTTCAAAAACGAAGGAAATAGAGCGTATACATTTGAGTTTTTGCAAAGCAATTTTGGGAGTGAAACAAAGCACTAGTAATGCAGCAGTTTACGGGGAATTAGCACGGTACCCTTTGTATATAACAAGATATTTTCAAATTATAAAATTTTGGCTGCATCTTTTAAATACGGATAACATTATAATTAGATACGTGTATAACGAATCGTTGAAGAGATGTTTAAACGGTAATATGAGAACTTGGGCCAGTAAAGTTAAACTTTTACTTGCACAATATGGGTTTTCTGACGTCTGGGATTTTCAAGATAGCGTATTAGTTGCTCATTTTCTCCCTGTATTCAAACAGCGGCTTATAGACTGTTACGTACAACAATGGCGAGCGGGTTTGCGTGATAACAACATTTTAAATAATTTATATGTTTACATTAAGGATGAAGTTCGTCATCAGTGATTACTTAAATAAAATTAAAACGAAAAAATTACGTCAATCATTGACACGAATTCGTGTGTCAGCTCACACGTTACGTATAGAAACCGGCAGACATGGTAGAAATCGTATTGAAAAGAACACAACGAACGTGTCTAATATGTGGAAACATCCGACATTGAGGACGAGTACCATTTTATCCTTAAATGTAACGCTTATCAAACTTTGCGTCTACAGTACATCAAACCTTATTTTTATAGGCGTCCTAGCATGTACAAATTTACACAGCTACTTAATTCGAAAAATAACGTCACTTTAAAAAACCTATCTGAATACATTTACCTTGCTGGTCGAATTCGTATCGGACTTATAAATACATTGCTATAAGAAATAATTTTTTTTTCCATTCTCCAAGCATGTGTCTTAAATAGTACAGGTTAATCAATAGTAATACTAAGAACTACAATAAATTAAGCTATTTAGTACTGTCAGTTAATTTAAGTAATAAAGTCAAATATACTTTGAATCTTTGTTAGGAGTGTTGATAAATTTAAATATTTGATAAAGTACAATAATTAATAATGATTGTTTAAATTATCTGTATAGTGTATGCATTTTGCATTCTATACATTTGCACACTTTGTTATTCTCTACTGCAGTATGTTGAATTAGCTGACATATTTTTGGCTTGCAGCCACGGCTGCAAGCCATTTCATATGGAAAACTTGTTCCGGTTAGGTGGTTTCCTGCTTACATCTGTTGTTGCATGATTGAACGGGAAGCCAGATGCAATCGTGCCAATCGCAACTTTTCGGCCTTTTCCGTCACTCTTCGGATTAATGATAATAGCCGATATAGTTCCGATTGCAATCGTGACAATTCGGGCGATTCCATCATACTGCGGAATCAGACGAAGTAATATTACGGAAATCTAAGCTATTTTAGTTATTTCGGTAATCCCAGTTTGTTTATATAAAATAGGATTTCTATTTTTACTCGATTTATCGGTTTAAACCGTAATAAATTATAAATGAAATTGTTCCGTTTCAATTGTTTTTCAAGACGCAAAAGTTAGTTTCTTTTATAATTGTTTTTTTTTTGTCTGTATTAGTTTACAAATCACGCATGATCGAGTTATATTTAGATCTACTGAACGCAATTCAACTTTTCGGTGAGGTAATCTAAAAATAGCCCATGCATGTCATTAACCTTGCCACGTGCTGTTATACGTATTTGTGATCGTGTAACATAAAATTATAGTTCATATGTAGTTGATACAAGCTTATTAATTGGTACCACGTAACGAAGTATTTTAGTGCATTTATTTGTCTATAAAGCAAACGAATGATTTCTCTGCGAAAAAGGGGAAATGAAATATGCACACTTGTTAGTTTTATACAATAGAGAATAGATTTCAAATCGTTTTGACAAAAAATATTCGTTTTTCAAAAAAAAAAAAAAAAAAAAAAAAAACTAAATAAAAAACCCTTTATGATATACAAATACCGTAATTCAAAAAAATGTGATAATAAATTGAAAAAAAAAACAATTTTAAAGGGTTGGGATGAAGGCACAACACTGTGCAAGCCTTTCCTTTTAAAAGGAAACTTTATTCATATTAGCTCCTTATCATTGTGACATTGTTAATTTTATAATATTTTATATGTACTTGAAACAACGAGGTACTCTATTTGTACAAGTTGGAAATAAACTTTTCTTCTTCTTCTTCTTCTTCTTCTATATTTATTGAACTTGTTGAATAAAACTAGAGGCTCGCATAATATGATTTTATTCAACTCGTTCAATAAATTTAGTATTAAACCTACACTCATTCAGTATCCTCTATTTATTTACCGTAAAACCAAACAAAACAAACAAACAAAATATAAATACTAAAACACGAACTTTGAGAATTAGTACGATGGCACAGAGGTGACATATAACTTTTTTTTATAATTGCACTTCTCTTTTTTATCTTGTTAACACGAGATTCTAGATAACGTCCGTCCTATCTCCTACGCAGTGGTCCCCCTTTTTCTTTTATTTTAAAATATAGGGCCTAGATTAGTAGATCTAGATTTTTTATTGTATTATAATTTATTTTCTTGCTTGTTTATAAAATTGGATGATATAATTCGCTACTAGATTACTTAAATTGAATAAAGACAAAATATCAGTTTAAGAATGCCCACTTAATTAATATGTAGATCTACGAATTCGACTTTATATCAACAGGTAAACAATTTGTACTTTCGGTTTATACAATCATGATAATAAGTATATAGATAATGTAAAGGTTACTTAATTCGCTTAATTTAGATGGTCTTTTTAAGTCATTATTAATATTATAAAATTCTTATCCGAAGACTGACGGAAAAGGCCGAAAACTTGCAATTATGCCTAATAACGCAATCGGCATATCTCGCCGATTATCTATTAAATAGTGGGCCGAGATGTTGCGATTGTATTTGACGTAAACGTTGAGCAGGGCGCGTGCATTTAAGATTTGTGTGCATGCTAACAGTAAACACAAATAATTGTTATGATTTAATATCTACATAACACTGTGTATATCTTATGGATGTCGCACTATTTAATACTGTTTAGATATTGTTAGGTTGAATTTTGGTGGTCATTTTTTGAAAAACCTGTCATCACTGAAGTAGAATCTATCAATTTCTTCTTCCCAGGGAAAGAAAGAATTCTGGTATGTATTGTTTCTTCCAGTCAAGCTTTCTAACATAATTTGTTTAAGTTATTTATTATGAATTATGCAGGAATAACTTTTTTTTTCACACAAGAATATTTCAGGAAATAAAATGTGAAAAGGATATTCTGATAACCTAGCTTACTTAGATGTCCAACGTCAGATCATACTGCATTTAAAAAGTCCATTTAAATTGTAAAATTAGAAATTGTAATGTCAGATTTTTTAACATCTGTGATCATTAGGTGAAATTTCTGAACTGCCTTTTTATTTTATTACCCTGCCATGATTTCGCACATATGAAAATACAATGTATACTGGTGCCTCGTATTTCCGTGGTACCCATATTTCCAAGGTATCAGGCTTCAACAGTCTAAAATGCCTCCCAGACTTAATGAACCTGCCAGTAGTTTTACTTTTACTATTTTATTGTACTTTTATCGAAATGTTTCATATAGAAATATTTTTTTTTTATTTTATTCAGATTAAGAGCAAAGTTATTTAATATTTCACCATTTTTCTTTTATATTTCATACCTTTTAAGAAAATCTTCTTTGTTAATTAACCATTGAGGAATTTGATAAATGCCAAAGAGAAAATCGCCCCTTTCAGATGAGCCTAGGTATAGGTGTACTAATAAATAAAGTTTACTATTGGTTTTGCTTTTGAAACTGTTAAAATGTAATTGCCTTGGAAATATGAGAACCCAAATTTACTCACAAGGCCGCAGATGGGTGTTAATTACTATGTTGTATACATAATTGCTTACATGCAAACATTAAATGGAATAAACTATGATGCAACTGACATGTTTATCTTACAATATTCAATGTGTTTTCCAGATTTTTATCCTCTTAACTTTTGTTGTCTGTGTTAAACAGTTAAGTACCACGGAAATATGAGGCACCAGTATAATTGTAGGTACATCTTAATGAATTATAAGTATACTATACATGATGAAGCAAATTAAGAAGAATTTCAATTTATATTAAACTCCCTATCAATTTCTAGTTTATTATCTTTAAAAAAAAAATGAGGAAAGTTGTGTAGGGGAAGAAGTTAAAAACAACCAAAAATAACTTTAAATTCTGAGAAAAAAATCTTAAAATTTCAAACTATAAGATGGAATTTCAGACAGTCCTCAGTAAAATGCAATTGTCGAACATATATGACGGGGTTTATGATAAAAACGCAGCAAGCCGAAATTTAGTGACCCTTATTTAAGACGTAGAATAGCATAACAATGTAAGATGAGACAGATGGGAGAAATAGTCTGATTAGATTACTGTAGTCGTCTGTTAAAACGACTGTCGCAAAATGACACCAAAACCTATATCCATTTAAAATTCCATGTTATCTAGTTCCCGCTTTTCATTGAACGGCACCTCGAATGTGTTGCATTGAAAGTTCCATGATTACCGCCGTATTTTGTACACATCTGTGGGTGTTGATTAAAATTTCTACATTATTATGTTTAAGTGATGAATTCTGTTGAAAACCGGCGCAAGGAAGCACATGTACCTACCAGAGCCGTCTTTGGCACCAATGTGTATTTATGTTTCGGTTTTGCAGTTTCAGGCGTTTTTTTTGGTGTTTTTTTTTTGGAGGGCAGATATGTGGATAAGTTTTTTCTGTTTTCTTTACATTTCTTTGCTTGCTTGTCGAACCTTGTATTGATAATCATTATCTGTTTGTTATGGTTCGGTTCGGTATACAAGTATAAAATATGATAAACAAGATGAACAAGAAAAGGCCGCGTTCAATGAACGCAACCCCCGCACGACCCAGGAACAAGAACCATTTGCAAGGAACCCAGGAGGATCCTAAACACAGTGTTGCATCTAGAATTTCAAAATCATGGGGGATTGTCCCCCACTCAATTGAAAAATGTGGGGGAATTTGAAAAAGATGTGGGGGACATACATTGACCTTACAATATGACATACCGAATAGAGTACATTTATTTTACATTCAGGCATTTTTGACAGCTATCGTCCGCTCAAAAACGGAAGTAGAAAAAATAAAATATTGACAAATACTAAAAAACACACACGAGTAACTTAGTCGGCTGCTAAATGCGATTTAGTACGTATTTTAGTCATAACCACGAGTGAAAACAAACATGGCTGAAGTGTTTAGGATACAATGAAGATAAACTGAATTAAGTTAAAAAGATTGTCAGATGCGCGACTTGGCGCGCACTGACTTCAATAAAATGCGTGATCTGCATAAAAAATGCGCAAATCGCGCAATCGCGCAGTCTAGATGCAACACTGAAACAAAAACAGGACAGCGCAAGAGAGAGCACGGTCTGGCTTATCACTAAAATGATACAAAATGATAAATATAAAGAAATAATGGTAACATACAAGGAAATCAAAATCAAGGAAAATAAATAAATGAATGATTAATAGGACCATTAAGTAAACTGGCACAGTGATAGGGGATGGGAAATTCGGGGAAGGGGGAGGGAGCGGAATAAAGAAATAAAAGTAGGGGCAAAGGGAAGATATTTACCATAGATGAGAAAACAACAAGGGACACAAACACAAGTGTCACCAAAACAGTATAAAACAACAAGACATACATGTATAAGTCTCTTAATCTGTTCATTTGAAAATTCTTATCTTCTCAATAATTTTTTTTAATATCCTCTACTTAAAATTTATTTCAATTTAAATATGTGACCCTTCCCTTATAGTTACACAGCATATGGCTGGATCACAATAAAGTTCCTTTTTTAGTAAATTAATAAAGTATGTCAAGAAGACATTTAACTTTATCAGTAGGTTTAATATGGTATTATAATATATATCAGCAATAGGTGAAAAAGAATTCCTTTATTTCTTTTACATTCTTAATTGTCATTTAAATATGCATGTATAAATGAAGTCAGTATTTTATCGGCAGTCATTAGCAGTAAACAAGAAGGCAAACCATCTATTGATAAATGTTGAGTACATGTATTAAAACATTTAAAAAATATTAAACAACAGTACTTGTACGGAGCCTATTTGCTACCATTGTATTTTAGGTTTAACACATTGATACTTTTCAATAGTATTTAATAATGCACAAATTTATTTAAAAATAATGAATAGATTTATTTCCCCGATATTTTTTTGAAGTTTAATCTTCATGCGTAACCCACACTTACCTGCTAGACACACTGGTTGCTACTACCAGCTTTCAGGACTCGGCCCGGTGAATTTTCGTACTATTAGTTCTATAGTAAATCAGTCAAATTTGAGGTTTAATTCTGGATTCCAATGTTCTTGATGAATTATATACTGTCTTCAACTTTAAACATTAACACTATCTAAGTCAAATGATGCCCAAAATATAATAGGTTAGCCATCTACTTTTTTCAGAAATCTTCATTCTGTTGTAACACTGTTTAAATTCACCACTTTAAAAACTCCTGACAGCTGGTGGGTAGTACATCTTTAATCCTCCACCAACAAATGAGTTCCTGGAGAATACACAAAAAACAACTTTTAAAGTCATCATATAACACACAAAAACTACACACATGCAATAAATACACTTTAATTATGAACAATCTAACTAGAGATGACTTAAATTGGGCCATTTCATAATTTTAAAGAACTACTTTCTAGACTACAATGGGCTGGGTCTAATTCCGTACCGGGTTGAGACCTTCACGGAATCGATTTTTTACGATGACGTCATAACATGTCGCCGGAGATAGAGTGTATTGACCTTTTCGAAAACCTAGCTAAACACCGTTTTCCGGTACGTTACCGTTTTAGCTCTGGGGAATTACATCAAATGAAGTACATAACACAGTTACGTGATATTTCGATTTTTCTATCATTATTTAACCGTTTAAGGTGAAAAAATTGATGTTTTTGAAAATTATCAATATTCCTTTAATATCTATTCCAAATTATTCAAAAAAATAAATTGTTTATAATGAAAATCAATAAAATTCAAACAGACGTAGTGGAATCTTCCATAATAAATAAGGTTATTTTGTGCGTTAACTTGTGTATTTACTTTATTTTTTGTATGGAATTATTCATACAATGATATCTAATTATTTTCTTATAAAGAAATAATTACTTTATTTCAATTTGATTTTAAAAAAGGCCGAAAACATCGAGTTCGCTATTACACTCCATTGGGTGAATTCCCCAGAGCTATGTACAGAAAGTACCGGAAAACGGCGTTTAGCTAGGTTTTCGAATTCGTGAATACAGTACAAATTTGAAATAAATCGCATGTATGCGTTAAGACAGGTACAATCTAATATTTTTTCTAGGAGAAGTTAGTACTAGAATTTATATTCTATTGATTTTTAGAGGACATTGAAGTTACTTTCAGGTTTAAGCAGTAAAAATCAGTCCAAACTATCGATAGTGTTGCCGGTAGATTTTCCGTGCGTAAAAATGACAGTTTAAATTATTAGGCGTAATGGTTTGACAGTAAGAAAAAAAGTCTGTAAAATGGGTCAAACCGTTCACGCCAAATTAATTAGGCTACAAAATTTTATACAAGTACCAGTAGGGTACTGCACTGATGTTTCGATTCACGAATTCGAAAACCTAGCTAAACGCCGTTTTCCGGTACTTTCTGTACATAGCTCTGGGGAATTCACCCAATGGAGTGGAGACGGCCCACTGAATTTTCGACCCATATATCCTATAGTAAATCCATCACATTTAAGGCTAAATTCTGGACAAAGCAAATCCGGTACCGAAACTTCATGACCATTTCTTTAAACAACAATGCAGTCCAAGTAAATTTAGCACAAAAAAATAATACATTAGCCCTTGGAGTTTTTCTGCAGCTTTTAATTTCTGTAATCACTATAGATTATTCCAAATAGTAACTGGTGTGTATTCTTGTGCATAGTGCCTCCTGAAACCTTCCACCCAGAAATGAAATCCTGCAAAAATACATCAAAAACAACCTTTAAAGTACTCAGAAATGAAACTTTATGTACACAATTACTAAAGATATACTTAAAATATAAC